TAATGCAGTCTGCTCCCCTGTTCCTGTAGCACTTCTCCAGCAGACACATCCTGGTTAGAAAGTCACTGGAGTATTTGGAGCATGTGCTTTGTTTTTTATTCTGAGCTTCTTGGTCTGAGACAATTAACTCCCCAACTGCCAGCACAGTTTCCTACTATCATCTCCACTCCACGGGCCAAACTTTGGGATCTGGATTTGTTCTTTTGCAAAACAATTATTATCCCCTAGACTATCCTACTAAATGTTAGATTTAGCAACAGCTGCTTCTCCACGTGCCTGGCATATTATATACATTTCCATACCTCCCTTTAGAGAAATGTTACACTGGCAGGTAGCTAAACCACAAAGAAAGCTGGTGGGTACAATTAGACTTCACTTAAGATAGACATGAAAAATCTCCAAACCAAACCACTAATAATCACAGAACCTTTCTTTAAGATGAACAGAAATGGTCACATATTATGCAGATCCAACCAGAAAGCTCGCTGGTATGGACAGAAGGATTTTAGAAATATTGATTAAAGGGACAGAAAGCAGCAAAAGCAGAACAGAAACCACAAAAGAAAAAAAAAAAGCAGAAAGAATCTCCACTAACCACAGGATCCCAAAAGAAGTCTCAAACAGGTAGTGTCTAAAAGGTGGGACGAGGTGGAGCCTCCCAGTGCCCGGGTGTGTATCCCTGGCCCAGCTGGTGCTGGCAGGAGTGCTGCGGGACACTGCCCCTCCCTCCCGAGCCTGGCACAGGCAGGGAACACACGAGGGGTGTAACGGAGCCTGGGCCAGGTCCTCCCTCAGCCCGAGCCTGGCACAGGCAGGGAACACACGAGGGGTGTAAGGGAGCCTGGGCCAGGTCCTCGCGCTGTGCCACCATGGGCCGAGGGCCGCAGAGGTGACTCGCTCTGCACACAGACAGGAGGCTGGCACTGACAGGCTCGCAGGGGCAGGGCTTTGCACCATCTCTGTCAACAAACACTGTTCGACACTCGGCACGAGAAGCCAGACACCACAGAGAAAGTCAAAGCACCCATCTGTGAGAACTATAACAACTAAATCACCTGGCATGGCAAACACAGCTTAAATGAAATATTGCTGCTAACAAAACTGGTGCTTTTGGCACCCCAGCTCCTGGGTTGCTCGTGTTTTATGACTCGGACTCTTGGTTTGCTGAGAAATAAAGATGCCATAGTCCTAATCACTCTAAAAACCTTACAGATCCTGCCCAAAAAGCATTCCAACAACCTCACAGATTCTTTACAGAAATCACTCCAATAACCTCATGGATCCTTCACAGAAATCACTGCAGTGACCTCACAGATCCTGCCCAAAATGACCAACTACAGCACCGTGTGTATCACACACACCCTGCCACCTGGGAAATCTCAGTGTCATGCTCAAATGCCATTATATTCCCAGGTTAATGCTAATTCCCTTGCCATTCTCCCTGGAAATATTTCTCAGATATGCCCTAACTCTCCTGCAGAGCGTTTGCATATGGTTTGTATAGCTGCAACACTCCTCTAAGAAACCAACAGCTGTAATTCCACCCAATCCACATTCCCACCCTGCCAACCATTTTATATTTGGGAATATACACATTTCTTTTACTTCCTCATACAGGGCACCTCTCAAAAGAGATTTTTTTACATTTAACGTTTTTTTTCTTCCAAAGCAGAACAAAACATAGACTTTTCCAGTTATGCAATAAACACAGACATTACACATCCATTTACATGTCTTAAGTGAGGTATTATATTCCCTATATGGAAACACATACAATATATTTATGATCAGAAACATACAACTTTACTTTAAAAAAAAAGCTTCCCATTAATGTTTTGCTGTATTTAAATGCTTATTCTCACATTCTCTCTTTAAGCTTTTCTTTAATAGAAATCAAAGATTTTATTAAAAGTTTTCAGTTAAAAGTTTCATCAACATTGGCACGTTTCTGTGAATTTTCTCAGTTCAGTGCATCCACAAGTTCTGATGGAATCACATTCCACATGAAATTTCTGACTCTGCATTCCCAGCCTATACAAGCTTTCTGAAGTGATTGTGCCAGAACCCATAAAAACATTTCCCAGGTATTGTGATCATGGTTACACATTCTGGGAAATGGTTACAGTACCTTGTAAAAGTTAAAATCTCCAAGAGAGCAGAAACCAGAATTCCAGGGCTCAACCATAACTCTGTGAACTCTGCTCACAACAGGGCTATGGGAAGGACTCACACTGCATTACCTAAACCAACTATCACCAAAATATGTCTTTGCCAAAAACACTGTGATACATTGTGGTTCTTCAACTGCCAGCATCGGAGACTTTTTGACAACTTTTCTGTTGTAGTGCACCACCCACCGTGAACAGCCCCACGGTATAAAAACACCTCAGCTATAATTCACTGGCTAAATGCAATAATAAATGGCTGGCTCTGCCTGCCTCTAACAAAGACCTTAACATGGAGTAATTAAAATAAGCAATCACAGCACAACTCTTAACACTGATCTGTCTTAATCTATTTTTAACACCTGCCAAGCATCTGACCCTGTCAGATTGAGCAATTCATGCAGCCTGAGAATCATCTATTTCTACTAAGTGATCAGATTTTTTTCTCAGCAATGGAAGAAATTTTTACCTACTGAGTATTAGAATATGCAATATATATTTAGAACAAATAAAATGCATTTTTCAGGATACTGGGTATCACACATTCTTCAGAGAAGGAAGCTTGTTTTCATATGATTTTTGTGAGTTTATATTGCTGAGACTTGGTGGAAATAGTACCAGAGTGTAACTTTAGAAACATTGAGCAGAATTCTAAATGCAGTGCATTTAAAAAAAATCAATCTATCAAGATATGGAAAAATTACTATTCTTCAGCAGAAGCAAATAACAAATCCTATTTCCTGTTCAATAATACTACAAATCACTACAGTCATGTAATGCATTAAGAATAACGTAACTTGCCCTTATTCCTTTACTTGTCTTTTACGATCCCCAGGAGAAAAAAGCAGCCGAGTAATGTTTGCAGTCCCACCCCCCTGCCCCCTCAGCCCCAAACGCACACTTACCCACAGGAGCCTTTCTGGGCATTCTAGCAGCAGGCTGGGCCTGGGCTGGGACCTGGTGCTGCAGGACAAAGGACGCTGCATTCGTGCATGTTGTTGGGTCGGGGGTGTTCTGCTGCTGTGACCTCAGGGCAGGGAGTCTGATCCCTCAACAGGTTGACTTTTAAGAGAGACGATTTCATTACATGCAGCAGATGGCTCTTCCTGGGAAAACCTCCACTAGACAGGGAGTTGGCAGTGAGGAGAGGACACATCCTACTGCCATAGAAGTGCACAGGAATTTCCTCGTGGCTGAGAGAGAGAGGAAGTGTTGGCCTTAGCTTTTCGTCCTGAAGCACTGGATTGTTTTTTGGAAAGCTCTGCTAGGCACCTCGGGAACTTCTTACTTGCTGGAGGTTAAGCACACAAAAGTTCTGCTGAGCATGAGAAAATCCACAGTGCCTAACAAGCAGGCTGAGGAGATCAAAGGTGGACAGTGGACTTTTAACAATCACTACACAGAAATTCACCTGTGATTCACATCCCTCAAAGGCAAAAAGGCGAATCCTGAAGTAGGAAAGTATTCCCACTCCTGTTACCCAAGGAGCCAAGTCTCACACAGGAGGAACTTCAATGAATTGCACAAACTGCTCTGAGCTCAAGGGATCTGGAAAAGGCTGAAAAGCAAGTTTTGTGCCAGGATTTTTTTTAAGCATTTTGCAATAATGGCAGCTAAAACTGGTTATGAGATACTACCGTGCTAAATACTTCTTGCTCCCAGTGTTATCTAGACTCAGATAGGAAACTGGTGTGTTCAGCAATAAATATAGCACCTCCAATCACCATCATTCAGGAATAGTAACAGGGATATCTGTTTTATGTAACAGTCTAACAGCCAAAATAACCCCCAAAGAAACGAGAGGCAGCCACATTTGTATCATAAAATAGTCTGGGTTGGAAGAGACCTTTGAGGGTCCTATATTCTACCCCCTGCCATTGGCAGGGACACCTTCCACTAGACCAGATTGCACCAAGCCCCGTCCAACCTGATCCTGAGCACTTCCAGGGATGGGGCACCCAGCACCTCCCTGAACAACCTGAATGCTTGATCACCGATTAAAAGTGTCAGTAAAATTACTTTCTAAGGCACTTCCAGTCCACTTTGAGCAACTTGCAACTCCAGAGAGAGAAGGATTCCCTTCAGATCATTGCCCCACTCATCTGATGTCCATTAGCAGTGATGGAGAGCAGCCACGGGAACATCTCTTTGGGAGGCTCTTCCCAAGCCGTCCCTCCTCTCCCACGCTGAAGGACACAAGGTGCCCGAGCCTTAAGCTGCACACCTGCCTGTGTGGGCACTGGCAGCAGGATGGGAGGAAGCTGTGGCACGGAGAAGAATCCATGGCTGCAGGTGGATGAGGCTGTTTCTCCTCAGGGCGCGACCCCTGCCCTCAGTGTTCTGTGCTTTTTGCCTGCTTTAGGCCCCAGCTCCCGCCTCTCCAACCATGTCCGGCCTTCTCAGGGCCAGCTGCGGACGCTGCAGGAGGTCTGGCCCTGAGTTAACGTTCCAATTTCAAAATGGGTGAAACAAAACCCGCTCGGTTCCCTCACAGTGTCCGCAGGGCCGGGGCGAGGGGGGAAGGCCGTCTCCTGCTCCGCCATGGCGGGGTCCCCTCAGGACGCGGCGGCCGCGCTCCCCTCAGGTGGATCCGCCCCGCCCCGGCCGTCCCGCTCCCCTCAGCCGGAGCCGCCCTGCCCGCCCCGCCCCGGCCGTCCCGTTCCCCTCGGCCAGACCCGCCCGGGCCGCCCCGGCTGTCCAGTTCCCCTCAGCCGGACCCGCCTGGGCCGTCCCGGCCTTCCCGCTCCCCTCAGCCGGCCCCGCCCCGCCCCGCCCCGCCCCAGGTGCCCCGCGCGGCGCTTCCTTCCGGGTGGGCTGTGGCGCGCGCCCGCAGCGATGTCTCGGGGCGCGGCGGGGCCGCTGCCCCTGGGCCGCCTGGCCGAGCCGCTGCTCCGCAGGCTCAGCGAGCTGCTGGACCGGGCGGCGCCCGGCAAGGGCTGGCGGGAGCTGGCGCAGCGAGCGGGGAGCCGGGGCACGGTGCGGCTGAGGTAGGCGGGCGCGGGGAGCGGCGGGGAGCGCTGCACCGCGGAAGCCGCGGTGTCGCTGCGCGGTCCAGGAGTTGGATGTTTTCTCTGTATTTTCCTGTAAAACACTGTGAAGGTCCATTTGATAAGTGGCGGTATCTCGCCCCTAGGTTGGCGCGGCGCTGCGACTTAATGAAAGAAACGTTGATGAATCTCTTTAGTGGGGATACGTAAACTTGCATTCCCTTTCTGTAGCTGTCTTCATGTCCTTATTATCTGAGCTGTTTGCATCTGCTGTGGTTGGAAGTGCATGAAGACTTTACGCTAAAGTTTAAACCAAGAACTTCAGAAGCAGTTAAGTGCGCTGCAGTGATGTGTGATTGGCTGGGCTGCACCTCTCGCTTGTTTGAACAGCTCCTCTAGAATGAGTCTTCCTGCACTTTGAAGTTAGACACTGACTTGCTCTTTACTGCTTCTAAATTAGGCCATGGAAGTGGAGGGTGCTGTACTAGTTTTTCTGCTGATACCTTACAAAGTGAAAATTAGAAGGTTTCTCCATACATTTGGTTAGACTTGCGAGGTACACGCATCTCTTACCTTGTAGCACACAAATAACTAATTCCAGTTTCTGTCCCTGTATAATTTCTGAACTGATGAAACTTGAAGGAAATACTGCAAATATGTCCAAATCAGCAAGGAATTTCCTATCTCTATTTCTTAAAATCTTTTTGTTTGTCTACAGTTGATTGTTAACCCAGCTCCTTTCTGAGCAAAAAGTGTTAAGAAGGTCTGTGCCATGTCCTTCTTGCGTTTCTCCGTAGCCCTTTGGATTTGGAGCAGTGTTCCCTCCAGGTGCTGGAGCCAGAAGGCAGTCCCAGCTGGAGCCTCCTGAAGCTGCTGGGAGACCGTGGGTGCACTGTGGTGGAGCTGGTGGAGTCCTTGCAGGCCCTGGAGCACACAGAGGCTCTCCAGTGTCTCGGCCATGCAGGTCAGTGCTGGGCCTGGGCTTTCGCTGCAGCTCTGGGTTTTACACTGGAAACACTCAAGCAGCTTGTTTTCTGCAGTAGCTAAAAACAGTTCTGATAATTGGTATCCATATGATTATCGAGGTAATTGGCTCACCTGATTCTGAGATTAAAAGTAAGCCGAGTAGATAAACAGCCTTTGAACAGTGCTGTTGTGGACTTGAACTTGGCTGCATGGACATGCAGGGTGGACTCGTATTTGTTCCTAACTTTGCTGTGTGTAAATTCTGTTTTAAAGGTATAAAGATTGTTGTACAGCCAGACTCTCAAGCAGTGCTCTCCGGTCAGGTGGTCAAGCTGTGTTGCTGGGCAACAGGGCACCCATTTGTGCACTACCAGTGGTTCAAGCAGGAAAAAGAGGTAATAGTTGATATAAACAGTGCAGGTTTTTGCAATAGTGAAAATAACAGATAATGACTTTGGATGAGACCTTTTTCTTTCTAAGACTCTTCCCCTTATTTACAATGAGATAATGACCCTAGGAATCTGTTAAAACAATGCAGCAATTCCTTATATTCAAACCACTTCATCCCTGGAGGCTAATTTTGGAATGTGACAGAAAGGAAGCTGTAAGTTTAGTTGTCTCTCAGCTTAGCAATAAGTTTCAAGTAAGTGAAGGAGTTGAGGCTGGTCTTATGGACGTGGAAACAAATATTGTAGTGCTTGATCCTGGTTTAGATTAAACCAATCTAAATTTAATTGGTTTTGGTTCACCTGTGATCCAGGTTCCCCATGGTGATTCTCCAGAGCTGGTTTTGAATCCAGTGAGTGTAAAGGATTCTGGCTTTTACATCTGTCGAGTGAACAGTGACTGTTCTTTCGTGTTCAGTCGGTGGGCACGCCTGGAAGTGTGTGAGCTCCAGGGTACAGCTCATGGTGAGTGGCACAACCACTCTCTTCTGAAACTGTCCTCCTGCTTCCTATGGGAACTTGGGCCTCTGTTGCTGTGCTTAGGTTGTCTCACCCTTTCTTTTCTTTTTTTCTTCCTTTTTGTTTCTTTTAAGGGAGCTTGGTGGGTTTGCCTCAAAACAAACTGTGCATTTGTATTCAGCCTCAGCCACAAAACCTGACAGTGGGGGATGCTTTGGTACTAGAATGTGGAGCTGTTGGAAACCCAATTCCTCGTTACCAGTGGTTCAGAAATGGATTCCCCTTGGCAAATGGGAGCAAAAATGTCTACACAGTGAGTTACTGCAATGGGCCAGCCTTGGGGGCCGATGTGCAACCACCTTGAACTTACCACAGAAAGCTTTCTTGAAGAAAATAATTTCTCCATAGTCTGGGTAACCTCTGGCAGAAGTGCTCGCTCCAAGTGCTTCTTTAGTTTTTACTTTTTCTTGCCTGGGGGCTTAAATGCAAGGCTTGAATACCTGATACAGGTGTTGTCTTGGGCTCTGTCGGGATGACTGGGGTGATACTTGCACAGGTAACTTCTGTGGACGTGGAACATCAAGGGACATACTGGTGTCACGTGTTCAATGACCACGAGGATGGAGACAGCAAGAAGGTGGAAGTCATTATAGGTGAGGAATTTTTCTGTTTGATACAGGGCAGGTGAGGTTGTTGCAAGCAGAATGAATGAGTAGAACATGTTTCAGTGTGTGTGCATGTGCAGGTATTTTCAGGGAACTGAAGAGGAGCAGATCTCTGTATAGCTTCCAGATCTATCTGGGAATACTACTGTGTACCTCAGAAGAACAGTTCTTTCCTAACCTAAGGAATATCTTAGTTTAGTACTCCCAGGTTTCAGTGATGAGTGCTGTACAGTGTTGTGGTCAGGGCAGGTTTGTACTGCTGTAAAATGAGCCAGATTGCAGAGCAGCTTGACAGTGACCTTTGTCTGCCACCTCAGATGCTAACACTAATAACTGAGAGCACTTGTCTTCCAATTTTCCCCCTCCTTAAAACACAAGGAAGGAAAGCAGTGGCAGTGGAGTGCACAGAAGGTAAAGTAAACATTTAGTTGTGAATCAATTTTAAAAAATCAGTGAGGGGACGCTGGGTTGTCAGGTGTGTTGCTGAAAAGCATGTGTGGGTTAAGAGCTTTGGTTTAGTTCAAGGCACTGATGCATGATGCAGTGTTCCTTTTGCATGTGCTTTTGTCTTCTTTGCCTGGATGCCATGATCTAGAGTACAGGAGAAAAACCATACTGCTTTCTCCTGTGGTATTCAAGTGAATGTAAAGACCTGGAGAGGTTTTTGGCTGGGCTCAGGAGGCAACATCCTATACAAGAAAATCTGGAGGTGTTTAGGAACCTGAGTGATCTTAGAGAGCTCCAGTGTCAGCACTCTGTCTGCAAGAGGTGTTTCCAGCAACCTCATTAGGCTGATTTCTGTTCTCCTCTGCATTGCTGCGATGGGGAGGAGGAGGTGTATTATGACCTTTGCTGTTTGCACCATCCCTTGATGGCTGAGCTCCTCAGAGTCTGCAACACAATCTGGGGATCACGTAGAACAGTGTAAGGCTGCTCACAGCAGGCCTGCTCTGAAACATCCCTGGGGCTTCAGACATGGTGAGTTTCTTTTCCGTGGTTTCCAGTGCTCTCAGAATAAAGAGGTGAAACCTGTGGTAGCTTAGAATATTTGAAAATCGTGTCTGAAGTCTTTCTGAATACATGTGGCTTCCCAAAGTAAGATTTCTTGCTCAGGATGTTGCTTTTTCAGCAGTCTTTCAAGCATATCCTCTTCAAAGGGGTGATCCTGATAGCTTGTTCCTTGCTCCTTCAAGCTGCCTGCATGCCTGTGGGATTGGAGTGAGTGTCCCTCCCTTGGTTTTTAGCTCTGCTGTTCTGTAGTGCTGGGTCTAGCATGGCTTCATACATTGCTGGATTTGCTCTTCTCTGTGTGGAATAGACACAAAAGATTACATTTGCAGAAATGCAAAGCCAAAAGTATTTTAGAAAAGTAGCTTGTTTTCTGTGTTCAGCTTTGATTATTAATGGCATGACACTTATATTTTTACTAATAAAAATGTTACTTTTGCTTGTTGTTTAAATTATGATCTTATTGGTGTGTTTCTTTGCAGAAGATTTTAGTGATCTTCAAGAATCAGGTCAGTGATAAGTTTTGAAAAACTTTAGTTTTGCATCTCCATTTTATGTTACAAGTCACTGAAGCCTAGCTGGGTTACAATATGCACTTTACAGTATTTGGATGTGTCTGTAACTAGGAATTGAATAGGGGCAGGTATCATGTTAAGAGCAGCACAGCTTCCTGGGTCCAAAAGGTTGACTTGAAGCATTTAGTGAATTATAGGGGTTCTGTTATCTCTGTAAAATCACCCAAGGCTGGTCTTACTGCACTGCATGTGCACTTATACAAAAGGGAATTATCTTTGCTTTCTTGTCTGTAGTTTCTCTGGGCTCTCAGTTTTAGTACATTGCTGCTTTCTCAGCTGATTAAGGTGAAAAAGATGTAAGGTGTCTGGCTGTAAACAACACAACAACGTCAACAAAACACCCCCAAACCCACCAAAACAAAAGAACCCTTTTTTTTGTGCTAAATTTGTAAGGTGTTGGGCAAACAGTGTCTCTACACTATAGCTGTGGGGAACATGCAGTTCATTTTCTGGTGTTGCAGCTATGACTGCAGTCACTGACAGTGCTCTTTTCATCTCTTTCAAGCAGACCCACAAGAGCTGTCAAGTCACAGACCTGTTGGTGAGTAGATTTGTAGCTGGAACGTGCATTTCCCATCTTGGAAAGGGATTTTGCTGCTCCTGACTCTGCCAGTGCGAGACCTGTGGGGCACGTAGAGAGCTGCAGGGAGGGAGACCCGGGGGCATCTGTACAGTCCTTTACAATGCTTGCTTGCCCTTTCAGGAGTAAACTGTGCTCAGGGCACCAGTATTTTTAGTGCCTCTGGGGAGTGTCTGCAGCTTCTCCTCTGTTTCAGTGTACTGCTTGGGATTCCTTGGCTGGGCCTTAGCCAGTGTGTTGCTCCATCACTTTAAACACTTGGCTGGCTGGAGACAGTGGTGTGGGGATGGTGGGATACAAAGGATTGGTGTCCTGTCTGCCAAGGCAATGCTGTCCCTGCAGGCTCAGCTCTCCCTGTGCCCGGGGGCTGGATGCTCTGATGTTGAGCTGCAGCTCATGAGGAGATGGAGAGCACGTGTGCTACAAAGAGCAGTTGCTGGGGGCTTTGAATCTTTCCTTTGCACTGGAGACTTGGCTGTGGGCAGGCACGTTGTCCTGTCGATGCTAAACCAGGTGGAAAGGCTGCTGGCCTCTGTCCAAGCTGCTCCACTCTTTCAGGTCCATCAGTGTGAGGGGGAGTTTAGGTTCTCCCTCTCATGCTGGTAAGGTTGTTTTTTTTGAGGTAAGAAGAGAGTTGAGCTGTATTATTGATGTAGGATGGCTTTTGAAATCACATAAAATATTGTGCCTGGAAATATTGTGCCTGGATACTCTTTTCTCTTTGGAAGATCTTACTTTTAAAGGTAGTGACTCCTGGAATATATAAACGTGACGTTTTTTTTTCTCCCTGTATCTTGGCAGCCACAGACAAGGTGGCTCTGTTAATAGGAAACATGAGCTACTGGAATCATCCCCAGCTCAAGGCTCCCATGGTAGATGTCTATGAACTGACCAGTTTGCTAAGGCAGCTGGATTTCAAGGTCGTTTCTTTACTGGATCTTACTGAATCTGAGATGCGAAACGCAGTGGATGAATTTCTGCTTCTCCTGGACAAAGGAGTATATGGTAAGAACACGCAAAATCCCTTCTGAAGTAGGTCAGTGTTGTATGTATCAACTACACAAACATCTGGTATTTACCTCTGCCAGCTCTCTACATGTGATGGCCAAACAGCCCTCCTGGTAAATAGGATGTGTGCAGAATGGGAAGAGTAAGTGAAAAGCACCCACCAGCATAGCCTTTGACTTGGCTTAAAATGTTTTTGTTTCTTTACTTTTAGAACAGATCAAAGGCTTGAACTCTTTTCTTTAACCACACCTAAAACTGCAGTGCACTCTCTGGTGGAATTGATGCACAGAGCAAAAGCCTTCGTGTCTTGCATGGAAAAGGCCAGGAATGATCTGGTTGGGAGTGTAAGAAAAGTTCTTCTGTGGGCTTTGAGTTTTCAGCTGACTGCCACTATTTTGTCATTTTTCTAAAGATTGTATAAACTCCTTGAGAAATGACTTAGAACAGAGAGCAAAAAGTTTTGCCAGTGTCCCTATTTAAATTGCAGAATTCCTGTAGTAAAGCCCATTCACGAAAACATTATTTGATCCTTTTTTGGAACACAAGGTCAGATTATTTGCTATCATGACTTTTTTACGGATGTGTTACCTGATGCTCTGTCTGAGCAGCACTGGCTGCTCTGACATTTGGGTGTTTATGTCTGAGCCAAAAGCTGCCTGACTCGAAGCCTCAGTCTGGCAGGAGTGTCCAGGCTTTCTGAGAGCACTCTGCTTTTTTACTCCCTGGGGAATAGATGTGCTGCTACATTTGGGACTCTTGCACCTTCTCAATTTTTTTCTGTAATTGTTGTCATGAATGTAGAAAATAAAGCCCAGAAAGGCTTTAATGGGTTTCTCAGCAGCACCACATGAAAGCTCTTACACAACATATTTTTGCAGTCGTGCATTTCCAGCCACTTGGTGTAAAAGGTAAGAGGAGCAGTTTTTCAGTGGTGTTTGGCAATAACTGCTTCAATTTAAATGGTCACTTTATCCTCTCTGCATAGTGGCTATTAATGGCTTAAAGCCAATAAAAGGTGCTGTCAGTGCACAAATAGGTAATGATTTATTGCATTTCTAGTGGGCATAGCTTCAAATAGAAGAGGCCCAGTGGCTGCCGCTGTCTGGTCCCTGTTACATGTATTGCTGATGCCTGCTAAGTTGTGTAATTCTGGCCAACTGCCAGGAAAGTGGCATTTCAGATCCTGCTCCTTAAGGGCAGGAGTGGTAAACAAAGTGATGATGATTGCCTCCTCTGATGTCTTAGTTTGTGCCGTGCTAAATGTGGGGTGCAATTAACATTGTATTCCACACAGGGTAAGAGCATAGACCCGTATGTTTTAAAGGCTACAAATATTTAGGCTGCTTTCTTTTTAAAAGAGAGAGAGAGAGGCAGATATCACTTAAATGCTGACGTCTCTGAGGAACTTGAGCCTACTTAAAATTGTTGTGGCTGAGTCTCTGTTGAGCCCCTCTGAACATGTTGGCTCCACTTACCCCGGGTATGCACAGATGGATTTCTGAGCTCAGCACGGGCACTGCTGCAGGTACTCGTCCCACAGCACAGTCACCTGCCAAGGATAGCAAAGGAGTGTAGTCAGTCCAGTGACTTATGGAACAGACACTCAGATTTCCAGTCAGCCTAAATTGTCACATTTCTGTTGACTTTGTTCAGCTGAGCACTATATACTGTATATGTTGCAGAGCTGGCCCATAGACTGCTCTGTATAGATAAATGAAAAGTCTTTTTAAAAGATGGAATTTGCATCATTAAGGAAAACCAGCACTGGGAACAGGCAACAGGAAAATCAAATTTAATCATACAAGCTTCTCTTAACTGCATTTTTTGGCAGTGGAGGTTATTAATTCTAAGAACATCTAATCTTACTGCAAATTGATATGACTAATACTGGACATCTTTATTCATATAAGTAAAATCTAAGCCCTGGCTTGCAGTTTCCTTTTTCAGGGTTCAGAAAAGCTTTCTTTAATTCCGCGGCATGTTTGGGTTTTTTTTCCTACAAAAATATTTCATGTTTTATTGAGGATTTTAAATCTTAAAATGTTGTAGACTGTTGTATACTGGCAAGTGAGGGAGATGATGGCAGGATAATCGTTTCTGGCTAGGAAAGCACACAAAGAATTGGTTTGTTTAGTAGACCCAGAAGTAACCCAGTCTGTAACTAAGAGATGTAGCTGCAATCAATTGAACATGAGCTGCTGGTAGTTTGGTAATGGGGATGTGCTCTGGAGTCCTACCAAACTATTCAGCAGGGTTTTTTTCTGTCTACAAAATCTGCAGAGTTACTGCTGCTCAGAGCTTTGTAATTGCACACGTGGAGAAGATGTTTTACAGTTGGCACATTTCCTTGTTCCCATCTGTGAGTTACACATCATACCTAACAGACTATTTCTGTTAGAGGTCATAACTACTTAAAGCATTTAAGAGTATTTAACTCGGTGTGTTTGATGCAAATATCTAATTGATTCTATTGCATGTGTGATATTTGCTTTTATTTTAATTCATTGTGTCTGTGTGTTGTGGAGTCGATGTGAATGTGGCTCCCCTCTGCCTCCCCTCCCTTCCTGTGTTAACAAAAGCACATTGATATTAAAACCCCAGCTTGGAGCGGCTTGAATGATGTCAGTCCCGCTGTGCATGAGGAGTTTGACACGCTGAGATGTGCAGGAGTGCTCCCGTGTGCTCACCCTGCCCTCAGTCCCACCTGTTCTGAACTCAGGTCTGCTGTACTACGCTGGGCACGGCTACGAGAACTACGGGAACAGCTTCATGGTTCCCGTGGATGCTCCCAACCCCTACCGGGCAGCCAACTGCCTGTGCGTGCAGGACATCCTGCGCAGGATGCAGCAGAAGCACACGGGGCTCAACGTCTTCCTGCTGGACATGTGCCGGAAAAGGTATGGCCTCCATTCCTGCTGGATATGTGGCAGAAAAGGAATCACCTCCAGGGTGAGGGGGGAGCTGACAGCAAGTGTTCAGGGATGGCTTTGCTTCCCAAGAGAAGGAATAATGACTCAAGTTTGGGGAACCGACTGTGAGGTTGGCTTTCTGTCCCCGTGCCTCCTGATTCGAATGACATTTATTTCTTTTTTTCTGTTGTTGCTTAAAAGTTATGAACCATTGGTCTGATTAGATAAAAGTGAAATTGGGCATCTTAAAGGAGGAACATGACCCTTTCCCCTTGCACCATTATCCGTCTTCATTACAGGAGGAAGGAGAATCCCTGTGATCAAAGGCATGTTAATTTGGCAGAAGGGCTCAAGTGAAGTGCTTATTTTAGACCTCTTCAGAGCCATGGATTTTGCTTTTATGCTGGGGATGTTGTATCTTTATTTAGAGCTTAAAACCCAACTGATTTTGGGGTTTTTCTAAACAAAGTACTGTGTTCTTCCCATGTTGAGAAACTGCGATGCCCAATTAAACTTGCACTTGAAATCAGCTCTTCAGTCAGCACTTCTGGCAATTGGTCTCTCAGGAATGTTTCATAACAGAAAAATGCTGGTGCCTTAGTGTCTGTGGAGCCTCTAAACTTCAGTGCTAATGAAATGCCCGTGACCCAATTCAGGTTCACAATCTGCTATCCAAGTAGAAAATCCATCTACGTAAGCCTTGTGCTCACTATGCAGAGACCGTGGTGGAGGGGGGAAGAGTTAGAAAAAAATCATAGCTTTTGGTATAACCTAAAATGGGCAGTTATCAGAAGTGGGGTTTGCAGAGATTGTGGACCGACTCTGCTAGTTACTATAACATGATGGTGCTGAGTTTTGCCTTTTAGCAGTCAGGATTCATTCCAGAACTGTAGGAGTGAAACAAATTCCTGGCTCTGAGCTGTGCTTTTCTGGTATTTTGAATTTGTTACCTTTATTAGTTCTCAAACTTTCTTGTGTTTCCACTTATTGCAGAAACGAATATGATGACACAGTTCTTATCTTGGATGCTCTGAAGGTTACAGCCAATATTGTTTTTGGATATGCAACGTAAGGAAATTTTTCTTCTTCTGTGCCACAGAAGTGAGCACTGAAATTGTACAGCTGCCCTTTTCCAGAACAGTACTGTGGTGTTAAACCTCGGGCAGTTTGCAAGTTAAGTGCAAAAGCTGCTGAATAGAAATAGTCAAGAGCTTTCATAAAATCTTCAGTGATAAATTGAAGCTCCTCATATGAGGAGTTTGATAAACAGCTCTGGTGTGTGATGCCATTGTGAGGGAAACCTTCTGTGAGCTGCTTGCAGGGGAACACAAAGAGCAGGTTGGCCTTGGACACAACCTGGTTCTCAAATTGTAGTAAACTCCTTTCCCCGTTCCCAACACAACTTTCCTCCTTACCATGCAGATGTTTCAGTGTTTTTTCCTTGTCTGATGCTGGTGATCTCACAGGTGCCAAGGAGCAGAAGCTTTTGAAATTCAGCAGTCGGGGTTGGCCAATGGCATCTTCATGAAGTTCCTGAAGGAGCGTTTGTTAGAAGACAAGAAGATCACTGTTCTGCTTGATGAGGTTGCAGAAGGTGAACTCCAGCTTACTGCACTAACAGTCTCCTCAGCCTGCACTGCTGAAAACAACTTTGCTTACATGTTCTTCCTCTCATGGTGAATGTGCTACACTACTTAAAGCTCTTTCTTGTTGTGTTTTGGTCAAATAGCAGCTTTTATCAACAAGCAGCTGCTACTGGGCAGCATATTAACAATGTTCTTGGTGTTATAATGGGATCTGGGCTTCTTTAATAGTGTGCAGTTTTATACTTTAGTGAACCTTATTTGTTCTGAGTGTCTTTCCTTATGGAGGTTTGAATTGTCCATCAACAAAAATGCTCTTCTGTCCTGTGGTTCCAGCTGCTTGTGGTAGTCCAGTCACTTGCAAGTTAGTGATGCTGTTAAATAAACAATATTGGGCCCTTTATCAATGCTTAAAATACTCCCCTTGCCCCCAGTCCTTTAGAAATCTGACTGGAATTATTCACATTCTTGAAATCAGTCACTCTAATTCGGCCCTTCCCCACTCAGAGCTGTGATACTGCTTGAGCTGGCTTTGAGGAACAGGGGAGGGTGTTGCCCAGGCCCCATGTGAACCCTCAGGGCCCTGCAGCAGCAGGAATGCTGCCTTGGCCTTCAGGGAAGGAAGAGCTGAGCAAGGCATACTTGTAAAACTGCAGCTTTGGATGGATGTGCTGGTGCTGGCACAACCACAGCAACCGCACAACGCTGCAGCGGGGGACTTCATTCAGTTGGAATGGCAGCAGCACGGATTTTGAAAGAACCTGTATGCACCTTACTTTTAGATATGGGCAAGTGCCCCCTGACCAAGGGCAGGCAAGCCCTGGAGATCCGCAGCAGCCTGTCGGAGAAGAGGGCACTGACTGACCCCGTGCAGCAAAGCACAGCCTCGGCAGAGTCGCTGGCACGGAACCTGCAGTGGGCCAAGGCTCATGGTATGGGACACTCTGCTCTCACATGAGCATGGGATGGGACACTCTGCTCTCACATGATCCTGCTGCCAGGGTGGGAGAAGTGAGAGCATGTAGTGTTGAATGGAAATGGAAGAAATTCAGATTTATATCTGAATTTTCATTAGTATGTTCAGTAGGAAATCTTTGTGTTTGGGTTTACCCTTACATGAGAGAGGAATGAACAAGGTGACATGGAGAATTCATCTGGAGTGAGTATATTTAAAACCACTGGAGGGGACACTTACAGGATGTCTGCCTGCTGGGACAATAGTTTATGTGTCTAACAATGACACTTCTTCTAAGACATTGATCTCATTCAAAAGTCATCACCTAAAATAGGCAGGCAAACTGGATGGTAAGTGTGCATGAGATGAAAAGGAGTTTTCAGTGTATACAACTAAGAAAAATAAGGATGAGATGAGTTGGAGGCTTTGTAGGCTTCTTTTAACAAAGGCAGTGCAGTTTAAGATCTTTTACCTTATATACCTAAAGTTGTGGGAGTACATCTTCACATTGCTTTGATAGACTGGGCAGAGGGTTGGGGTGGCATTTCTAAGACAGCTCTTCCACAGATGCAGGTATTTATTTGTGAAATCACGCCCTTAATTCTTGTTTGTTAAATGATTGAAAAAGCCTAGAAACTATTTTAGAAAAACAGAAAATGCATATGCTGAGTTATATTTAGACTGCAATGATGTGTTATTCACAGAGCTTCCAGAAAGCAGGTACCTTGATTTTGAGTGTGGTGTTCAGATCCAGCTGGGGTTTGCAGCTGAGTTCTCCAACGTCATGATCATCTACACAAGGATAGTGAGGAAGCCCCCAGAAATGGCTCTTTGCAGAGCCCACGTCACAGACTTTGCTCTCGTAAGTGCTTCCTCTTGGTCCCTTGTCATCCTGCTCCACTGAAGTTGGAAATTTCCTGTTCCATCCCTGTCAAACTGCGTCTTTTGTAATAAAATGGGTCCAAACTGTTGAAACTTCTGAAACTGAAATAAGTAATGGTTTATGATCTACAAATTCTGTACCTTCAATTAAGTTCTCGTTTCTTTCTTGCAACAGGACCTGGATGTGGATCCTAAATTGGCTAATAAAGGAACTCCTGAGGAAACTGGAAGCTATTTAGTATCAAAGGACCTTCCCAAACACTGCCTTTACACCAGGCTGAGTTCACTGCAAAAACTAAGGGTTAATATATATTATTCCTCACCTGTTTGTTCAGATAACTGCCACTAATCATGTTGCTTTGCAGTTCTGTTGAAGCAGCTGTGTATTGTCTGCACAGTAAGTTCTTTGGAGGGAAGCAATGGCTAATAGCACAGTTTAGTGACTTTAATTCTGTAGCTGAAAAGTAAAAGCCAGGGAATTGATGCATATGCAATCCTGAAACCAGCATGCAAGGCCCTCTGTATTTTCTTGGCCAAGGTGGTTGTTTTTGTGAAGATGATCTGTAGCACACTCTGAGGGTGTTCTTATGCACTGCAGTTCAGGAAGAACATGGCCTGAAGCAGACCTGCCTCTCACAGAGTCATTAGTAGGAGATGAAAGTGTTGTGTATCATCAGCCAGTGCTCCTGGGCATGCAGTTTTTGGAAGGTTCTCCCTTCAGCAGGCTGGGGCACTGTGAAGTGTCTCTCTGTATCTTTGTGTCATGAGCACCTGCCACCTCTTCTTCAGTGCTTTTGGCAGCTGAGGTAACATAAGTGCTTCTAGAATTACAGGCTGTCCTGTGAGCAAGTACTGACCAAAAGAGGTCCTCAGTAAACAAGTCTTCCCAGTGTGTGTCCTCAGCTCCTAAAAAGGTTGCTCTTCCCCAGGGGACCAGGCCTCTCAAAGGGTTTCCTACAGTGTTTATTTGGATTGGAAGCATAACTTGTTGTCTCCCCCCTTTCCTCTTTTACAGGAACACTTGATCTTCACTGTTTGCTTGCACTATGAGTATTCAGGAATAGAAGATACAATGGATGAAAGAAAGGAAGTTAATGTTGGGAAGCCCCTTATTGCTAAATTAGGCCTTCATCATGGATTCAAAACCAGTAACTGTCCCCATACCTGCTGCATGGCTGGTTATCCTTTTCATAATTCAATGGAATCGAGTCTTAGAGGGGCAGCTGAATACTACATCCCCAGCCACTGCCAACCAAATTCCTGTCCAGGTGTTTACCACCCAAACTGTACTTGCTCAGCCAGCATCACACAGCCAGAGGCATGTTCCTGCAATGGGACTTCCAGGATATTGGCTTCAAGACATGAAGTATGGAATTACTCACCCACTGTGGAAAAGAGTAATGTACCAGTAGAGACCACTGATGACACTGTTGAACTGGAATTCCTTCTCTCTGACAGCCTCAGCTTCTCTGAACAGCAGTAGCTGGGATGTGTTTGGAACAGACCTCCACAGAGCTCTGCAGGGTGCCTGCTGGGTAAAAATAACCTGTTATCCTGAGAGTCCTGCAACTGCCTCTTTGGCTCCAGAAGAGCATCTGCCCCGTGGAACTGTCCACTAGGAGATTTCAGGGCTGCTGTTGCTCTCTCTGTAGTTACAGCTTTGGTTCATGCATCAGCTACTTCTCCTCATTCTGTCAGCTAATTAGGAGCTTTGGCAGCTCCCATACATTAAGTTTCTGGGCCATGTTCACCTTGACATAAATTCCTGACTGCTGCAGGGATGAGGCGTTTCAGTATCGCTCCTTCCTTGCGCAGAATTTTAATTCAGGCGGAGTAAGATCCGCTCGCTTTTTAGAGTGCAGCATTTTGAGCACCAAGGTGTTTGCTGTGAACAGGAGATACTTTAAAGTATCAGGTGTGGGGGAGGACAGGTTGGCAATTTGAGGGAGTTGGGTTTATTTTTTTTAAAAAAGATTGATCACTCTCTTAGTCTAGGAATGCAGTGAGGACCCCTCCATGTTGTGGAAATCAGGCAGTTATTAATTTCTGGGGTACCATTGCAGCAATTTAGTCATTCCAGGTTTATTTTAAGAGCTAATGAGAAAAAATGTGTTCTCCCATCCTTGTTGGCATGCAGTGAGCACGAGCCCAGGATCCCTGTGGGTGTGTGTTGCCACAGCAACCAGCCTCCACACCCACATCTGCAGCGGATGCGGGGGGAAGCGGCCAGGCCTTTCCATGTGCCCTTCCCACAGCCCCTGCTGGCACCCTGCCACTGCAACGGGGATGAAAGGCCTTCAACCTGCTATGCAAATGACTTCACATAAGATCAAGCAGCTCTCAGATGCTTCCTGGGCTCTCTGATGACTTAATGTGATGGTTATGATTTATTTCAGCTCTCTCTATATGAGCTAGTTCTGCTTCCTGAGGCAGCTTCCTGCCATCCTGTCAGAGGAGGGATGCTGAGCGTGCATGGCAGGACAGCACCAGTCGTCCTGTGGAGGTGGGTGCCTCTCCTCTGGGTTACCAGCAGCTCAGATTATTCCCCTCCAAATGGGCAGTTTGTCGGTGCTGTAGGTGTTTAAAGTGGTCCCAGGATTCTCTGTTCACATCCTGTCTGTGCCTGTCAGCTCTTTTCCTCTCTTTTCCCTTCTGTTGAATGCCAGTAGCATCTGTGGTACCTGCCCTTCAGCACCAGCTGAGGATTGGTCCAGCAGTTTTTGAGAACTGCTTTGAAATACTGGGAATGTACCAAATCTGATATCTTTTTTTGTCTGTAGGAAGCATAACAATCTTTTAAGAAGGTACAGTTGCTATAAAATATTGGTGTGCAGATTCTCAAAGCTTTATAGGTTTTGCTTCACGCCTGCCTTAGGGATATGCAGAATCTGCTGCACTCTGGTTGCAGCTGCAAAGAGAACACTTTGTTTGAAACAACCCTTAGATTATCAGTTCTGCTTTTAGTGGAAATAGTGGGTTCATTTTAATCAGAAAATAGCTGTGTGTGATGCCAAGCCGTTTACCTGTGCTGGCAGGTAGAGAACTGCAGCTGTTTGCACACTCACTGTGTTCCAGCACATAAATCAGAGGTGGGACTTGTTCACTCTGCAGAGAGTTGTATACATTGAAAACTCCTTTTTATCTCATGCACACTTACCATCCAGTTTGCCTGCCTATTTTAGGTGATGACTTCAGAATGAGATTAATGATGTCTTAGAAGTGTCACTGTTAGACACACAAACTCCTGTGATGCTGTCCCAGGAGGCAGACATCCCCTAAGTCTCCCCTACGGTGGTTTTAAATAGACTTACTCTGGATGAATTCTACATGTCACCTTGTTCATTCCTCTCTCATGTAAGGGTAAACCCAAACACAAAGATTTCCTACTGAACAGACTAATGAAAGCAGCTTCTCAAATTGGCAGATGGTGGCTCTGTAAGAAAACATGTTTTCTTGCCTTGCCCCTCAGTTCATTCCCAGACTGAGCAAAGAGAGCTCGGTAGTAGCATCTGTTGATGGAATAGTTCCTGTTAAACTCCATCTGCCTGCCAGCTCTAAGATGTTCCAACCATGGTGTGGATATAAGGTACAAAAGGTATAATTAGAATTCTGATGTATCAAAAGCTGGAGTGGGTTTAATTATGTAAGATGGACATTTTTGGACAGCTCTAAGTAATAAAAAATGTCATGAGTGGCGAGATGATCCTCAGCAGTTGCCTTTGCAGCCTGCAGTATTATTTGCACCCATGCAGCACAAGATGTAGATTTTTGCCTGATCTGAAGCTGAGCCAGTTCTTGCCCGGTGGGTGTGTGGGAGCATAACTTCTGAGGCAGAGGTTTGGGATGTGAAGGGACAAAGAGAAGAGATCCCCCAGGGCTGGGAGGGTGGATGAGCTGCCCCAGACAGTGTGAGCAGCCAGCCATGAAGCACCAAAAACCAGGTCATGCCAGCCACCAGCCCCAGCTGGGGGCATCTCTTGCTGATCACTGTGCATTTAGGGGTTTGTTCAGCAGAGACTTTTATGGCAGCAGAGAGGGAAGTCTGCAACACGGGAAGCAGTGTTGTTACACAAACTAAATGGAATTTGTATAATCCTGACTCATCTTCGGTAGGTGGGGATGAATCAGATGTCCTTCCTCCAGCAGGAGATGCCAAGGACCAGCACGGAAAGTCTGAGTGCTTGAGAGACTCCCAGGCCACAAACCAGCAAGGTGCCTTGATTTTAACTTTGCTCCCATTGTAGGAAGATCATCACAGGCAGCTTGGAATCAGCAGCCACTGCCAGGCCCAGTTGCTGCAGCCACCCTTGTCCATGAGGACAGTGTTTCCCGAGGTAAAGAGAGGAAAGGTAACAGAAAAATAGCTCTTGCTGGAAACCATACTGCATTTAATTGCGCTTCTTCCGGCTGCAGAGGTTTCTTAATTGGCTGCCAGCAGCTTTCACTATGTTCCTCTGACTTGCTCAGAGTCCAGCCCTGGATGTTTTGGATTCCCCTTTATCCTTATTTTAGTAGGTGCTTATTCCATGTTATGGGTGGGCTGTGGGAAGGCAGAAGTCCGAGCCCAGCTGCTGCTGGTACGGAGTGCCCGGGTGTCTGTTCCTGCAGCGGGGCAGCAGCCCCCGTGTCACATGGCACCTCCTCCAGTGCCCAGCAGGGAGCAGGGGAACGCCTGTTCAGGTTCAGCACTCTCCTTTGGCTGTGTAAATGCAGGTGAACACACAGCGAGAGGAGCTGTTGATGGCACCATCTGCAAAAGCCTAATGGCTCATTCATTAAGCAGTGGGAGCCGGCACTGCCACAGTCTAATCAGATACTGTATGATGAATAATTCAGAAATAATCCTCGTATACTTGAATAAATATCAGGAGAAGGAAGGAAAAAGGCCCATACATATGGCACGCTGAGAGAACAAAACAGGCATTCTTCAGTGTCCCAGGCTGCTGAGGCTGTGGTACGGGATGTTAATCGTGCAGGTGGCTGATGCCTGATGAGGAGCTGACTGAGGGCTGCTGGCCCAGCACTCGGAAGGTGCTGGGGAGCGGAAAACACCGCAGTGCTCATGGGAAAATCCATCGGCACTGCAGTTGGAAATATGCGTGTGCTTGGGTTGTGTAACTGGCTGCTGCCAGGGGTGGGGGACCGAGCTCGGGAGGAGATGGCTGGGAACACCCAGGGCTTGGCTGGCCTTGGGCTGTGCTGCTCTGTGCTGCTCTGGGCAGATCAGGGGGTGCTGTCCCCCAGCAGCTCCTGCCCACACCCCCGAGCTGCTGCTCTGGCTGGAGGACTGGTTATCTCCTATGACATCCCTTCCTTTTAATAAATCTCATCTTTCCAAAAGCAATCCTAGAGGTTTTAGTCCAAAATATAATAGGAGACTTATTTTCATAACCAGGAAAGGAAATTATTTTTTTTCCCAAGAAAATACGTAGAGATTAGCAATAGGAGCATCTGAAAAGGGGAAGTTTAGCTGTAAGCTGGTTTTTAATATTGAATGTTTATATTTAAAGTACCATTGCATTCTCAACAGTGATGAAAAGAAAAACATAAGTATTCTAAAACAAGAAATACAAGCCTCTGCTCTTGTAGATCAAATATTACAAGAAAATTTAAGGTGAAAACCTTAAAAAGCAACTGAAGGAACAGGCAGTATTAAGTGTTTGCCAAAAGTTGTAAAGTTATTAGTCTGAATTTAGGGTTTGAAATGCAGAATGTGTATGTTACACTTCTTGCTTAAGCTAAGCATGTTTGACTAGCCAGGAAGGAACTGTTTTGTTTTGTTATTGTCCTCCCCAAAAGTGGGGAAGGACAAAAAGGGCAGCCTTTATTCTGACATAAAATACCTAAATGTAAATCAACTTTAGTTTTTATGGTGTCAGTCCACCTGCAAAGTCTTCTTTGGCCCCAGCCCATCTTTAATGTGCAGAAGCTCTGTTTGTAGCTACGTGTGACGCAGTTAAAATTGATCTCTGTACAGAAAGCTGACGATGAATACACCATGGTTTAGAGTTCTGAATTTCAAGAGCCTTAAAATCCTTAGAAGTTAAATAATTAAAAAGTTATTACTGCACACAAGTTCAGCATTCACTACAGCATCAAAGGGAAAGTGTTCTGAGTTGGCAGCACTCCTTGCTGACTGCTGAGAAGTAACAGCGGGCTACACTGGAGGCATTTCTTCAGGAAAAAGAAAAGGGGGGGGTTGATTCAAGATGTACCTGCTTCCTGGAGAAGGAAAGACGTAGTGTGGGACTTGGGACTGCACGGCTCCCTCAGGGCAGGGGACCAGGAGGTCCCATCTCAGAGCTGGATCCAGGTGGAAGGACTCACTGGTGATGGTTTCACTGGTCAGGAGGACAGGACTGCACGCGAGGACAGTGGTGTCACGGGCTTTGAGCCTGGTCACTGCAAAGCCAAGGGAGAAAATGGGATAACCTAAACAAACAGAATGTCTTCCACCACAGCTTCCAAGGGTTATGTGGCACAGTGTCTGGTGGAGTGAATGGGAGCTCTGGTCCAAGACCTCAGAGCTAAGATGTAAAGTCAACCTGCTAAAAAACCCCAAAGCCTCCCAACACAGAAGTGATGCTTGTAGGAACACTCACTATGCAATTGCCTGTTACTTTGTGTGCTTGAATTAAAAAGCCACTGGAGAAGAGCCATCAGCCTGGCACTGCTTGTAAATGATACTTAAAATTATCTTCATTTTATTTTTAAAATCAAATATTAAGGGTGACGGACTTTTTCTGCCATGTCAAGGACACCTTGCTGGGAGGAAAACAAATAAATCTGTGTGAAAGGCAGCATGCACAAGGACCTTTGTGCCACGTATAAACTGTGAAATCGATTAACATTTCAGATATTAATACCAGAGTGGTAGTAACAGCTGCCATCTTCTTTATGCTGTTATGCAAGCCAACCACAGAAATGCAGTGTAAGTAAACAGAATTTGGTTTTCACTTTAATCAGATCAGTTTCCTGGTTAATTGGGAAGAAATAGGGTGCTATAAATATTATGGCTTAATTCTACAAGTCCCTTGCAGGATGAGCTTGTGCAAGCTGAATTTCATGGCCCTTCTTGAATGTTAAAACTAGTGCAGAACACAAATCCATTTGGACTTTTTATATAAATCCCCAAATCGATTTATTAAATTCACATTCTATAAACTTGTCAGACTCACTGATTGCCACAGTTTGCAACAGAGTAGTTTGCTGCTGTTTTGGTTCATTGGACAAGTTCGAATTTGTACGTGGGGAAGTCCCGTGGGCTGGGGTGGGGCCGCCAGGCCACGGGCCAGCCCGATGGACAATTCCCTGCCCGACCGATACCTGCGGGCACAGCTTCAGGGGCAGCCTGCCAGCAGGAGCTGTGCTCGTGCACAAGGCCTTTGGGACTCGGTGCCTCGCCAAGAGGTTCGTAAGAGATGTTCAAAAACCGGCATTATTTCAACCAGAATATGTACTGTGCTATATGCTCAAATTTGAGACGGGTGTTATGTGTTTAAAACCATTAATGTGATCCAATAAAGCGATTCGCGTGCCAGAGTTTACATTGTGGAAATGGTGCTGCACAGCGGTAACAGAGAGAAGGAAGAGCTCTCGTCCTGCCGTTCCCAGCAATGGCGATGCCGCCAGGATGCTCCGCAGCCAACAAAGGCGGCTGGTGGGAGGCAGCGCAGGGGCCGCAGGCGCTCCGCAGGCAGGCGGAGAGCGCCCGGTGACGGGCTGTGTGAGGAAGGGCAGCACTGCTCCGGGACACGGTTCCCGGCCGCGCCCCGGGCCCGGAGGGTGACCCCGGCCGGGCCCGGGCAGAGCGGCCGCAGCGCCGGCGGAGGTGGCAGCGTGTGGCTCCTCCCGTCCTTTGTTGGCCTGGAAGCGGAGCGGCGGCCGGGTGTCTTCCCCCGCTGCCCTTCGAGGCCTGAGGCTCTCTGGCCCCGGGAGCGCCCGGAGGGCTCCGGGGAGCGCCTCCCGGGGCTGCCCCGGCCCCGGCGCGGGGGAGATCGGCCCTGCCCGCCGGCACCGCTCGGTCCCGCTCGGGGCGGGACCCCCCGACCTGCCCGGGCTGCGGGAGGCCGCGACCCGGCCCCGGCCCCGCGGCGCCCGGCGGCCCCGCAGCCTCCCCGCCCCCGGCACTCTCCAGGGAGCCGTTCCACACGGAATCACACGGGAGCGTCTCCCCATCTGTGCCGCCGAGCACCCCCACCCCCACCGCCCAGCCCCGCAGCCTCCTGCCATTATGTTCCTCCGTCGCGGGGCCGGGCCGCGCCGCGGGCCGTAGCCCTGCCCGAGCCCGCCGGCTCCGGCCGCAGCAGGTGTGTCGCATGGGGACCGGAGGTTGCATGCGGTGGGGTCGCTTCCTCCCGGCCCGGCGGCGGCCGGAGCCCCGCGGGCACCCGCGGCGGGGCTGCCCGGGCCGGCGGCTCCGGGCCGGCCGGGGGCGGATCGCTCTCCCCGTCGCCGGAGGGGCCGCGGCCTCCTCTCCCCGGGCGTCCCCGGGGCTCGCAGGACCCGCTCGGGCAGGGGCCGGGAGCGAGCGGGCCCGCGGGGAGGTGCCCGTGGCCGCGGCGGCCCGGAGGAGGGAGCGGCCCCCCGGGCCGAGGGGCCGAGGGAGGGCCGGCCGCGGCCGCCCGTGCGGGGAAGACGGGCCGAGGCAGCGGAAGAACATGGTGGTTCTCCCCAGAACGGGGTGGGGATGAGGGATGCGGAGAAGGTGTGCAGGGTTGTGCCCGAGACCTCTGCTCAGTTGCAGGTGCAGCCCAGGGCAGAGGGGCTGGCCGGGGTTGCCCACCCGCCCGGAGGGAGCCCTGCAGAGCAGCATCTCCCGCAGCCCCCGAGAGGAGGGGGCTCGGCGCGTAGGCGGAGGTGGTTACTGGTGTTCCCAGAGCAAGGGTGAGTAGCCAGGAGGAGCGGGGTGGCTGCTGTCTCGGTCCGTGTGCCTGTCAGCCATGCAGGAGGAAGGCCCAGCGTGGCCGAGGTGAAGGGGAGCGGGCAGGAGCAGAGCGGCCACGGGCACAGGTGGGTGCGGACCCCCGGAGCGGCCTGGGCACCGCGGGGAGCCGAGCCCCTGGCCGGGCATCGCCCCAGAGGCGCCGGGCATCGCCCCAGAGGCGCAGGGCCGAGCAGGCGGCTCGGTCCGCACGGTCTCTGCGGGGTGGGAGCCGCGCAGAGCCTGCCCGGGCCTCCCCAGCCGGGGGGTGCCGGCCGGGGGGGCTGCCCAGCCGCGGGGCTGCAGCTCGCTGCTTCTTAGGGCCTCTAGCATAGTCGAACAGCAAAAGAAAAAAAAATCAGCGCAGCGGCCAACTCGGTACTGCGAGGAGGGGGCAAAGGAACTATTTTGCAGGCATCTTGCTGCTGCGGAAATGGATTTCTTGAGGGGAGGGAGGCGCGCGTGCGGGTCCTCTGTCTAGTAATGCTGCCCACAGCTCAGAAAATGCCACTCGGGCGGCCCCAGATGCAGCGAGTGGGGAGGGCGGCCGGGAGAAGCCCTGGCTCAGGCACCCCTCGGCCGTGGGCATGAGGGGGCAGATGTGACGTGTGTGAGCAGCCACCCCTCGTGCCGTGGGAGCAGAGGGGGAGCAGCCCGGGTTAGCAGCCTGTCTCCCAGGGCTGTGGCCGAGCCTGCCTGGTGCTGCAAGAGAGATCCTATGAGGATTTTTATTGCGGTCTCTTTGTTAGCTACAGACAGGCACGCACACACTCCCAGCTCTCAGCCAGGTTGTGGGAGGTAAGTGGGGGAGGCGAGGAAGGGAGCGTGCGGGGGGCTCTGGGGAGCAGGGGCTGCGTGGGCCGGGCAGGAGGGGAGCCGGGGCACAGGGCTGCGCCGGCCCCACGCCACACAAAAAACAGCCCCTGCGATTTTCAGGGACTTGTTGGCAACTCAGCGAGGGTTGCCATAGCTTTTTATGTAGGGTGACCAGAACCGGCTGGAACTGGTTTGAGGCAGATCAGCTCCTGAACACAATGCAGTCACTGAGCTACTACACTGGGAGAGCTTCCTCCCTTCATGGCAGCCAAAAGCAGAGGAGCTTGCAGAAAGATACCATCCCAAAACAGTATGTGAATGCACACTTTAGACACACAGCACTGGTATGTGGCTAACGTAGTCATAAAGGGTTCTGTATGTAAATGTACATATTTGCAGTAACTGAGATTACTTTGGCTTTTCGTGCCTTTTTATGCTTAAGGAATGGGCAAGAGCTGAGATTTATGACCCTTATTAAAATATTTTTGCTTTGCAAGGGTGGGACACCGGTTATGCAGTCTATTTTAAAACTAAACTACATAAAATGGATTGAATGATTTGTAATTGTAGTTATGCTTGTGACTGAGGATGCTGCTTTGCATGCGGTTTTATTTACAGGGTGCTGTCTTGTGGTTTGCTTCTTTAGGGGACGTTGAGGGGGGGGTTGCTGTGCCTTTCTGTAAGGCCAAAAGGAAACAGTATTGTTGTAGAATTGTGCATAAAAGCATTGCAAAGATGCTGTAAGGCATACTGGTTTTCCCTTTTTTTTTTCCTTGTAGGCCTGTTGATTGGGGCTGCCTTTAACCCTTTGGTGTTTGCAGAGGTAATGCGGCTGTGGCAGTAACTGAGCACCGGCTAAAAAAATCTTTCTAAGGTCAAGGTTCACAAGGTGAGACGTGGTGGTTTGTGCCGATTATAACAATAGCGTGTAGGTACATGTGTGTGAGAAGTAAATCTGACTCCTGATTGCACACTTGGCACATTAGGAAGGAGACAATTGTTTAAGTGTTACTGAAGAAATGCTATTAAGGTCCTCCAGTTTTAATAGGATTAGAGCTCTTATTTTTAAAGACTTACTGATATCCTGGCTAAATACACTATTTTCATTGAAATATATCCAGATATACATTTTTTTCACAATGCAGTGATATGGAATAGGCCTCTGAGTGACAATCATAAATTGTGGACCAATTGTGGCAGTGAGCTGTTCTGTGCTGTATTACAGACTCACATGCAGAATTTGCTGTCTGATTATTTACAGGTTATTGTTTGGCCACATCTCAGTGACCCACTTGGTTCTGAATTAAGGTCTTCAGTGTTAAGCATGTACTTAATATCTCCTACAGAGAAAAAAGCCGTACAAAATAAATAGTACGGATGGCTTTTCTTAGACTGTTGTAACCTGGGGAGGATTTTGCAGCAGCCAAGTGGAAAGATGTATTTTGGGGGGTTGGATGGAGCTCCAGCGCATTTTCAGTGGCATGAATTATAATATTGTGCAGTAATGAAATCAGAAGAGGAAACCGGATGGGCAGTGCATCAGCTCCTGAGGGGTGACTGCTTTTAACTCAAAGCAATGGATAATGGACAGGGGGTTGTGGGGTTTTTTTCTCATCTGAAAAATAAATGTGTACTTAGATCTGAGCTGGCATTTGTATCTTACAGTGAAAGCCGAAGGACTCAGAGAGAGGGAGAGGGGGAGAGAGGAGGAAGCAGTAATGAATCTAGCAAAGGGAAGAACAAAGGCTGTTAGAGCTTACACAGTGCATCACTAAACATTTTGCCTTGGGGATTCTTTGCTAGAACTGTTACTTCCTATAACAGGAAATCAGCAACTCTAGAATCATAACCAGTGTGATTTTTAAAAAATCTACCCAGCCCTGGCTGTGTTAGCTGGTTGGGTAGTCTACAATCAAGATAATATGGAGGCAGAACATTGAAAGTACTCTGTTGTGGTGTGAAATGAGTGTCCTCTCCTCTGTGCTCAGCAGATAGACAGTCCTAAAAGCCTTGAGAGGTTGTGGATATTGGGTAAGTTGTGAGCTGGCTGATGATGGGCAGGGTGCCTGCATCCTAGTGACAATACAAGGAAACCTTTTTGTTTCTGACTGCAGTGCATTACATAAGGTATTGAGCTATTAATTGTAGAAAAGTGAGAATAACGTGCTGACGTTTAGCCTGAAACTCTGGGTTTGTGGTTTTTCCTGCAGTTGTGATGTGTTGTTTCTCAGGTTTGGCAGGGCAGTGAATAGCCTGTGATGGAGCAGAATGCCTGACAGATCACTGTGCTGATTTCTGCTTCTGTCCTTCAGCACTGGGCTGCAGAGGGTCTGTATTTGACTGTGGACGTCTGTTGCAGAACGATGCTGGCAAACAGGAGCTCTTGTTGCATGAGAGGAGTAGCATCTCTTGATGATAGCACGCCTGTTCTTTTCCAAGTGTCAGCTAAAACTCATCTGTTACATGAGAGCACCTTTTAGGGTTTTTCTCTCTACCAGAATAGTAAGCAGCTTTAAAATTGTGAGTTCTTGAATTGATACAAAATTCTATGGATCTGTTTTGTTTGGGTTTTTGAACGCTATCTGTACTACAAATTTTTATTTTTAGCAAAGAAGATTTTGAATTTGCAGGCATTTTTGTAGGCTGTAAGATGAGAAACCTGACTAGATGCTGGAGTCTGCAGTCTTCTTGGTGAGTTGTATTTTTTCAGTCTAATAATATCTGTAAATGCTCTTCACCAGGAGATGGGGATTTTGCACACAGGCCAGCTTTCCAGCAGAAAATGCTGCTGATGCTGGAGGGCTGGTCCTCTGTATCAGCACCCAGGATCTCATTTTGTGTTGAGGCTGTTCTCAGGTATTTGATCTCCAGAAGGAGGGTAAAGATTTATCACATTCCAAGACCCTTTGGAGTGAATTAACTAACTGTTGTTTTCTTAATCATATAACCATGTGTTAAAATATAAATATGCATACAGAAAGCCAGGAATGTGTGTTCAGAAAAACCCAAACTTGCCCCTGACGTTTTGGAGTCTTGTTGTTGCTCTGGTGGGCTCAGACTGGCTGCAGGTGCCACAATTGCCACCCACTTCACAAAGAAACACCTTACAGCAAAGAGGTGGGAAGCTTGGCCCATTCAGAATGGGATTCCAATCTGCATTAATTCTGGAATCCTAAAATTCTGTCCATTATGGCTGTACATCTGAATTATTCACGTGTTATTGTCACAGCCTATTTTACATACGGAAGTACAAAATTAAGGCATGTTTGTAATTTAAGTAGAGTGCAAAAAAAACGGTGTGTGGATTTCCTTGTTTGTCAGGAATTCAATTCCATTTTAGGAGGACTTGGGGAAGTGTCTAGGCCCAGCCCCTAACCTGGATCTCTGGATACATCCAGGTCGTTTCCATGTGGCCAGCTGTAGCTGGGGATGGCCTGTTCAGCTCCATGCTCTGGGGAGGGAGGTTCCTTGCTCATGGCCTGAAACATCCCTGGTCTGTTTTCCAGCCAAAGGCTGAACATCCTGAACTTTGAACCAGCTGTGTGTGGTTCTTTTTCAAGCTGTGCTAGAGGTGGTTTAGACTCCAGAGGCTTCCCCTTCTCTTTCCCTGCCTGTTTTCTCCAACCCAAAGAGAACTTGCGATACCCAGTTCATTGATGGGTTGGACTACAAGGTGAGGCTCCTAAGGAGTCATAAACTACAGCAGTACTATTCTGGCTGTCAAAATTTTGGATTAAGTCTTTACTCATTGAGTCTTGTGCATGGAGGCAAGTTGGATTTTCCTCTTTTTTTGCAGGCAGATAGATTTGGTGTATAATATTGGAAGAGTAAGTTGCTTCGTATAAATTTTCACTGTGAAACACCCCATACTTCACAAAGATGTTTACATTAGGACTGGCATGACCTTATTGATGCTATGGATGGTAAATGAGACCTTTATCCTAAGAAATCAAAAATTCTTAGGATAAGAATTACTATGCCTATTATGAGAGGAATTTCTGTGATTTCTGGAAGCAGGTGTTTGGGTTTTGCAGCAGTAGCAAGCCATGTGCCCTTCCATAGGGCAAAGGAAGCTCACCCAGAGGAGTGTGAGAGCCCTGGCTGAGTGCGGGTGAAGTGGCCTCTCGCACGTCCCCCTCGCCTGCTGAGGGTGTCAAAGCAGGCGAGGCTGTGATTTGAGATGTGGTTCCTGTTTCCTGAAGAAGGGTTTGTGGTTAGCTTAGCACATTGCTCTGCCTGTCTTTGCAGTGCTTGGCTTTCAGAGTAAATGACTGGAAGTGTAAGTCAGTCATAACTACTAATATTTGTTGAATAGCTAATGAACTGCTCATATTCTGTGTGTTAGGCTGAAGTTTGCCTGATGTTAGGATATATGTTATTGTAATTCTGATGGAATCACTTGAGTCTTCTCTACCTGATGAAGTTTCTTGGCATAACAGTACAGAAACTTTAAAAAAAAAAGTATGCTTTTATGCTAGTTAGGCTGATATTGCTCCCTGTGTAGGCATTTTGTTCCAGAATGAGCCTGATCTAATTTAGGCATCATTACTCTTGTTTGGACATAGAGTAATTATTCCAGACTTTTGGAATTTTGCTCTGGAGTGGTGTGACTGTAATAAGAGTTATTGCTGTGTATTCCTTCAGTAGATTTGCTGCTGAGGGAAACTAAAATTGAGTAGTTGTTTGACCAAAAGCAAGGAGTTAGATATTGTAAGTATAGACAATTACATGGGATTTGAAGGCAAAGGGTAGGAATTTAATAAGGCAGAAAAGACAGGGCTGATACAGCTAAAGCAAGTGTATAAAGTCGTTGGACTTGTGGTTCAGCAATTTGGAAGAACTGGATGAATGGGAGGGTAAGTGTCAAAGAGGAAAAGTTGGTTGGTTTTTCAAAGGTTAACAATTAAATAAAAGAATAAAAATTGAGCATGTAAGACCATACTTATGATCCAGAAACAAGAGAAAACTTCATGCATAGAGAATATTAATTGGAAAAGTATTGGAAAGGGAGGGGGATTATTTGTCATTGCTAGGCTGGAAAGCTTGAACTTGTTCTTGTACCTGACAAAAATCAGGGGTTTGAGTGGTCTGGAGATAGGACCTGTCTTGGAGCTACCCCAGAGTATTCTGGTTTTTTGTCATCATTAGACTGTTCAGCTTCCCCAAAATGACTCTGGTTTGAGTGTTTACAATTGCTCAGCTTTACTCCAAAAAGTATCCTTTCATTACAGCAACGCTTTCTGGGCAGCTTGGTCTTTCTGTGGAGAATGCTGTGCCCCAGCTGCAGGTGTCCTAAAGCCAGAGTTACAAGATAAATCTTATTTAGAAAGTAAAGTCTGTCTGGTCCCCCCCACCTCGGCAGAGTACATGAAAGGGTAGGTTTGTTTTTCCTCATGTGTCTGGAGTCCTTCCATCTGAAACGGGTACAGATGCAGGGCTTGAGGAGGAGTGACAGCAATTCCATGCAGGAAAACAAAAAGCCTTTATCTGCCTTTATCAGTCCTTCAGAAGCAGATGTTTACTCCTAAGCCCTGCTTGTCCTGCTTGCTTCTTCCACGGTCAGAAGAGTTCTCATGGCCTGGTTCTTGTTTTGACATAACTCTCCAAGTGAGTGCTTGGCTGGAATGTGTTACCACACGTGAACTGGGAGAAGTGAGGCAGTGGAACAGTCAGGTACCTTCCTTTGGCTAAAACCTGGGCCATTTTCTGCCTGCTGGTCATAGGAAGCACTTGAAGAGATGCATTTCCAAAGAAGGAAAAATGTAGGAAGTCAGGCTTCCTCCACGTGCTTTGAGGAAGCATAAACACAAATAAACCCCCCCTGATTCACCCCCAGAACTTAGTTTCAGTAAGAGATTGATGCACACACATGGGGCGGGTGTTGTCACTGAAGAGATTCTTGGAAGTCATGGAGAAAGGTATATTCAGTCTGTTATCTTAAGTTTTTAAGACTCAGTGGTATCTTCCCAGAAGTCCTCTCAGCCACCATCAAAAAAGCAGAACCCAGAAGCATTTCACCTCACTGCTCCATGGCTCCCTGGCTGTGTAATTCCTATTGGAATTCCATATTCAGATTCTTTTCCTTGTTACTTTTATCACTGGATAATAAGTAAGCAAAGTAATGCTTGAATTTTTAAAGAAACTGGTTTTCTGTTTAACTTTTTTCAAGCATTCTCAGAGCCCTTCTCAAAGAAATTCCAGTTCCTGGAAAATCCTGATTTCCTGGGGAACCAGGAGCTTGCCTCATTTCCTGTTCTGAAGCACTTACAGGCATCATGTTGGCCCAGAGAAGGAATAGGCTAACAGCTTGTCTGCCAACCAAAGTGTCAGTTGATTTTGATCTTGGATAAAAGGCAGAGTTATCTCCTTAAGAGAAGGAGTTACTGAAAGGTTTTTGGAGAGAGGAAAAAAAAATAGGGAGGAATGTGGCTGCAGAGTCCTGGCAGCTGTGGTTTAAATTCTGAATCTTAAGATGGGTGCACTGGAATAGTGAGGAAGAGATGAATAAAGTGGCCAGGTTAGAACTTCACCTCTTTGCATGTCATGACTGGCTGTGTCCTCTGTCCCTTTTTGTTTAACTTTGATTGCTTTAAACTTTGAAGAAGCTCTTGCTAAGGGCAGCAGTAGTTTTGGGTCCCCCAGGGAGCAGAAGCCCTTTGTGTTGGTTGCAGCTCTGTCAGAGCACGGGGGTCCCTCCTGCAGAGCCCTGCAGCTCTGTGCAGTGTGTTCCCTGGGGGGGGCATCTCGGAGTTCAGCGCAGAGACCCCGGAATTCTTTAAGGATACTTTCCTGGTTTGGAATGAGCCTAACTGAAGGAGTTCCTCAGTAAAGGACAGATGTGTCTTCTCTGCTGGGCAGTTAAAGTTCTGATCTTAAACATTCTTGGAGGAAATAGTGGGTAAGCAGGCCTTAATTCATTGCTTAATTCATTGATAAATGTTAATTAAACTCTAGGATATGTAATTAGAGGAGGTTTCAGACTAGGGTGACTTTCTAGTTCTTTTTGAGTATTCACAACAACTGCAGAAAGACATGTATGACAGATGCACAGCCAGAATGCAAATAATTAGTACCTCAGATCAAGAAGTAACTGCATCAAGGCTTTGTGTGGATTTACATGGATTTTATATGCTCTGGTCTCTGGAATATTTTCCATTTAATTCTTATAGAAACTTGCTTTGTAATTTTGATATTACGTATGTGTTAATTTTTGTATTTAGGACTTAATAAGTTAGACAAAGCCACAAAACTATTAAGTGAACCATGACAACAAATTTCAAAACCCTTCTGTATTTACTTGAAGGTGTTGCCTGAAATGTCTGTGTGTATTTCAGTATCCTGGAAAAATTTTCCTCATCTGCCTTCTTAAAGTTCATAATGACTTCCAGGTAACCAATGCTGATGAATTGATGAATACCTGAGTGTTACAGATTGTTATCATCTTCAAGAAGACTCATCAGGTTGATAGTGCAAATGTTAAGGAAAATCAAGACAGGAGAAATTGCAAATGCCTCCCCTTATTTTCACAAACATCCAGGTATCTTGCTGTAATGACAGTGTATGTTGGCCAGGATAGGAGGGAGTGTAGGAGAGGGGACAGGAAGAAAATGATTGAAATTTGGGCCCAGAATGAAATGGCCAGGTTACTGTGTGTGGAGTTGATGAATTACTATAGCTCTTGGTATAATAATTCAGCTGTACACTCGGACTGTTCTGGAACATATACTTTCTGAAAATATTACTTCAGAGGTGAACTAATACCTTTTTGCATGGCTTATGTGAAGAAACACTTGTTTTGTGTAAGACTAGAGCTTACAGTAATGCCCATCTGCTTATTCTACAGATTTGCTTCCAATCAAATACGTGACCATGGGGGATATGAAGACCCCAGATTTCGATGATCTTCTTGCAGCCTTTGACATACCAGACATGGTTGATCCCAAAGCAGCTATTGAATCTGGACATGATGACCACGACAGCCACATAAAACAAAATGCTCACCCAGAGGAAGATTCTCACGCCCCGTCATCGTCTGACGTTGGTGTGAGCGTCATTGTGAAAAACGTGCGCACCATCGATTCCTCCGAAGGCGTGGACAAGGATGGCCACCATTCCACAGGCAATGGCTTGCACAATGGCTTTCTGACATCATCAGCTCTGGAGAGCTACAGCAAAGAGGAAGGGAAGTCACTGAAGGATGATGGGTCAGCTTCTGAGACTACACTGAAGGATTCAGCTTTCAACCAGTTCAGCCCAATATCGAGTGCTGAAGAATTTGATGATGATGAAAGGATTGAGGTGGATGACCCCCCGGATAAAGAGGACATGCGTGCAAATTTCAGAGCAAACGTCTTGGCAGGATCTCTGTCTCAGCAGGAATATGACAAACTAAAGGCACTTGGAGGGGAGAACTTGATTAAACCTGGAATCCCAGTTTCAAGTAGTATAGATAAAAATAAAGTTGCTAAACGAGAGACGGAGACAAACTCTGTAAATTTAAGTGTCTTTGAGCCTTTTAAAGCTCGAAAAACAGAGGACAAATTGCTAAAAGACAATTCTGACAAGCTTATTGAAAACAGAGTACTCGATGGAAAACTGAGTACTGAAAAAAGTGACACAAATCTTGCCAGCATTTCCCAGTCCAAAGCAAAGTCATCAGCAAAGCTTTCTTCCTGCATTGCTGCAATCGCAGCCCTGAGTGCTAAAAAGGCAGCTACAGACAGCAGTAAGGATTTACAGTCTAACTCAGGAGAGTCTTCTCCATTACCAAAAGACATAAGTGAAAGTCCCCGGGCTATTGAAAAGTCCCCTGAGTCTCAGAGCCTCATTGATGGTGCCAAGAAGCCATCTGTCAAACCACCTGACAGCCCCAGGAGTGTCTCGAGTGAGAACAGCAGCAAAGGGTCTCCATCTTCCCCTGCAGGGTCGACACCAGCAATTCCTAAGGTTCGTATAAAAACCATCAAGACTTCTTCTGGGGAGATCAAGAGAACTGTTACTAGAGTGTTGCCAGAAGTTGATTTGGACTCTGGTAAAAAGCCAGAGCAGAGTGCTTCCATGGTAACTTCCATGACATCTCTGCTGTCCTCGCCAACTTCTGCCGCCGTTCTCTCCTCTCCTCCCAGAGCTCCCCTCCAGTCCTCAGTTGTCACCAATGCAGTTGGATCTACAGAACTTGCCCCCAAACAGGTCACTATCAAACCCGTGGCTACTGCCTTCCTGCCCGTGTCGGCAGTGAAGACGGCGGGCTCCCAGGTGATCAACCTGAAGCTCGCTAACAACACCACGGTGAAGGCCACTGTCATCTCTGCCGCGTCCGTGCAGAGCGCCAGCAGCGCCATCATCAAAGCTGCCAACGCCATCCAGCAGCAGACGGTGGTGGTGCCAGCGTCCAGCCTCGCCAGTGCCAAACTCGTGCCAAAGACGGTCCATCTCGCCAACCTTAACCTTCTGCCTCAGGGTGCTCAAACCACCTCTGAACTGCGCCAAGTGCTCACGAAACCCCAGCAGCAAATCAAGCAGGCAATAATTTCTGCAGCAGCCTCACAGCCTTCGAAAAAAGTGTCTCGAGTGCAGGTGGTGTCATCTCTACAGAGTTCTGTAGTGGAGGCGTTCAATAAGGTGCTGAGCAGCGTCAATCCCGTACCAGTTTACATCCCAAACCTCAGTCCCCCTGCCAATGCCGGAATCACGCTACCTACACGAGGTTACAAGTGTCTGGAGTGTGGTGACTCCTTCGCTCTCGAGAAGAGCCTGACCCAGCACTATGACAGGAGGAGCGTGCGAATTGAAGTGACTTGCAATCATTGCACAAAGAATTTAGTTTTCTACAATAAATGCAGTCTCCTGTCACACGCTCGTGGACACAAGGAGAAGGGCGTTGTGATGCAGTGTTCACACCTGATCCTAAAACCAGTCCCAGCAGATCAAATGATAGCATCTCCTTCCAGCAATACCGCTGCATCCCTGCTCCAGAGCGCGGTGGGAACTGGCACGCACTCCGTAACAAAGATGCAGTCTGGCTTAACTGGGACAGTGATCTCAGCCCCAGCCAGCTCTCCTGTCATTCCAGCTATGCCGCTAGACGAAGATCCATCGAAACTCTGTAGACATAGTCTAAAGTGTTTGGAGTGCAATGAAGTTTTCCAAGATGAGACATCTCTTGCAACTCATTTCCAGCAGGCTGCAGACACGAGTGGACAAGTAGAGTATCCTATGTTTACATTCCAATGTTTCATCTATAAGCCTAGGAGACTTTGGATATGTTTTTACTTCCATTTAGCTGTTAATTATCTGAACCTCCGTGATTAAAATGATAAACGAAAACCACAAAAAGTCTTGCAAGCGCTTACATAGTCAATGGCAACCCTTTTTAAATAAGACTTCTCTTAGAATCTTTTTAGGCCCTGAAGTCTGAAATCGACACTATATTTTTGCTAAAATTCAGCATTAGCTTTCTTACAGCTGAACATTTTAATCCTGAAAGTAATACTAGGTTTTACTAATAATACTTTAATGATTCTTTCTGTGCTTTGGAATTTGACTAGCCCGTGGAATCCACTTAATTGGCACCCTCATTAACAGCCCGTCTGTTCAACCTGAATGGTAGCTTTAAGTGATTTGTTCTTGACTGGTCCTCAGCTTTGAGAGTTCTCATGTAGCGCCCTAAGTGAGCGAGGCATTCCTCTCACCTGCAGGGACTCAGGCAGTGACAAATGGCACACTGACTACTGGCAGCAATGCCTGCTGTTTGCCTCAGGTCTGCCTTAGAAAGTGCAAAGCCCTGTTCAGTGGCACCATTCCTTGCTGTGGTGTGACCATTGCTTTAGTTGGTTGGGTTTCCTTTCCTCTTACGAGTGCTAATGAGTTAAACTTACAAACCATTTTAGAATTCTTTGCTAATGTATGTGGCCTAACCTGAAAGAAATCCGTCATTCAATAAAACTTACTCTTAATCAGTGTGCGATGTATTTTATAATCCTGTAGGAGCGAAGGTGGTTAATTAAACGATACAGTTGGATCTCTGTTGGGGCGTGCCAATTAAAAGGGATTCTGCTGTGTTTCAAAGCATTCAGTTGAGCTTGGTGATCCAGCTTCTTGCTCTGGGGGAAGCTGAAAACCTGCATGCATGCTCAAGGCAGTAATGCCCCGGGAATATTCCTGGGAATCACACAGCAGTGTACAGGATAGACTTTAAGTGCTGCAGTTAGGAAGAAATGCAGCTAGTCACAGGAGTGCAGGCAGGGGCCTGTCAGGATCTGTTTGCTGCACTTAGGACCTGTTCTGTACCACGGAGCAGCTCAGTCTGCAGGCAGGAATGTAAAGAGATTTGCATGTGGAACAACCTTGACTGTGGCTGGTGTGGCTCTGCCTCAGCTCCTCCTTTCCTAACTGGCTACCAGAGTTAGACTGAGAGCCTGCATTCCCAGCGGAATGCCACTCCAGGGAACTCCTCTTTGGAAGGAACTACAGGTTTGATAACTGTTGTTATCAAACTGCCTGAGTTTGACAGCAGGATGTGTTCCATCCTTAGACCTTGCTGCAGTTCTGAACAGTAGCTAATGGCTGACCATAAGGATATTCTGCATCAGCTCGAGTTACTTAATACTCAGTACTTTGGATTTTTACCTGACTGCTTTGCTGGTGCTTATTGGTGGCAGATGGTTTCTTTCCCATAATAGATCTGTTAGGTAGCATCCCATCTAAGATCCAGTAGTCCTTGCAAAAACCCTGCTGTTCTTGGTACTGGAAAAATCAAGCAAGTAAGAAGGCCCCAAGATTAAAGCAAGTGGATGAGAGACAGAGCAATATTCTGAGAATAGGTTGGGAGGATGAGGCTAAAATGGAAAAAAAAAAAGAGAGAAGAACGAAGATAAAGTGATCTGCTCACTTTTGGGGGGCCCTTGTCTTTATGGACAGGTAAACTAAACCTTTTGCCCTTCTCTTTCTCCCTCTGTCTGGTGCTTTTGCCCATCTAATTGCTCTTGAAAGGAAAATGTCTCCTGAAAGAAAAATGCTCTTGAAAGGAAAATGTGTTTTTAATGAGTCTAAGCAGTAAGTAAGTGTTCTCGTTCTCCTGAAACTCCTGTTATGAAGGTAGAGTGTTTCATTTAAAATAAACAATGGTAGAACAGCCCTAGCAATGAAAATATGTTCCCTATAAAGTTGTTACCTTTCTGTAATGTTTTATTTCCATTAATATTCTTGTTAAAGGGATGGGGCCACTTGCTGACAGGTTTTCTGGCTAAATGAAACCCTCACCTACTTCCTGGGGAGAAGAAGGTAGCAAATCTGGGCTAATGAGTGCTAATATTTATCCTAGTGACAGATAGGAGTGTATAGCTCCCATGGAAACTACATAGCTCATTTTCCTTCATGCTCAGCGTTCTTGTGTATCTTTATTTTCCACCTCCACCATTTTTCCTTCTAACCCTTTTTTTTTTCTGAAACTTTGACTTTAAATGCAGGCAGGTGATGATTTTCACAAACTGTTTTATTTTGGTGTGGGTTGGAATGAGAGAACTGAAGTTAATGCCACCATAAGCCCAAAATAAAATGGTAAGCAAATGTGCTGAATGTCAGAATTTCACAGTAGATGCTTCTTGTTCTACTGTAATCAGTTACAATTAAACATTTTCTGTACTCATCGAAATAGCAGAGCAGGGGCCTTAACCAAGGGCATTACTGGCATGTTGGGTCAGCAGACGAGTCTGGCAGGCGGCTTTCTGCAGACTCAGAGAGGTCACTGAGCTGGGCTGGAATGCTGTACAGCTCTTTGGGGCATCACATCCCACTTTCCCTCGCTAGTGCTGCAGGCCAGAGGCTTTGGAAGGACTGTGAAACCCTCTGACGGTTTTGTTGCTGGAATAAGAAGTTCTGTTTTGCTGTTTTCTCACATAATGAAATAATGCTGCAGATTCCCCAGTACTGTATTGCAGCTTGTTAACACAGAAACGGCCAGAGATGGATTTGGGGAATGATACTGAAGCCCAGTAAATGGGGCAGAGTCATGGCCAGTCAGGATTTTGCCTTTAAGCTAAACTGGAGACCCCAAACCAGTTCTAGTCAGCCTGGGAGTGTGAGTCCCCCACTTCTAGCTGTAGCTGTTGGAGAACTCTGGATGGAGACTGTGTTCAAACACACCAGGCCATCGTGCTCACAGAGCATTTATTTCGGGATTTCTTCCTGCATATGTTAGTAAATGATTTATAATGCAGCTCTGGAGTTCTTGTTCTGGTCTATGTTCTTGCAGAGAGTGCACATCAGTACATCTGCCAGAGTCATGCAGAGAACATTCCTATAAATACCCATGTCAGGAAGGAGTCTTGGGTTTGATTTTAATTCTTTGTAAGTCACTGGTGAGATTCACAAGTCCCAAGTCATAAGAAATAATAGAATAAATTGATTCTCGAGTTGTATGTATGTCCCTTGCGCTATCCAGGTAATTTTGGGAGGCACTTGAGTAATATTTCTGTAAATCCACGTGCATCTCCTGTGGTCAGTGGTGAAGTGAAGGAGCTCTGTGGTGTCAGGATGGCCCAGAACAGCTGTGGGTCTGGCAGCCAGCAGCTGCCAGCTCTGTCAGCAGGGCCTGTGTTTGTACTTGCTGCTCCCTTCGGGCCCCATCCCAGCCATGCCGTTTAACCTTTATTTGCTGTATTGCAGTGTTTGACACAAGACGTTACGTAGAGCTCAACCAAACCTATTGTCTCATCTATTCTGGTTTATCGTTTAGAAGACATGCAATATCTGCCAGATGCTGCTTCCTAACCAGTGCAGTTTTGCATCACACCAGAGAATTCATCAGCATAAATCTCCATACACGTGCCCTGAATGTGGAGCAATCTGCAGATCTGTCCACTTCCAGACCCATGTCACTAAGAACTGCCTGCATTATACCCGAAGAGTTGGGTTTCGGTCAGTATAACGATTGCTTTTGTTGTCAATTTATGTACAATTTATGCTTTTAGAAGTAAATTTCCATTTTCATAAGTATTGTTTGGAGAATACAGCTTCATGGGCTTAAGGTTGTCACGGCAACAGTGTTGTTAGTGTTACAAATTTTGGAATAAATACATTAGGATTCTGCTTTGTTTGGGCATCCACTTTTGTATATGATTAAATCAGAATATTAGCTAGTGTCACACAGATTCAGGACTTCACTGCTTATAAAGTCTAGAGAATTCAGATGCATTGCCTTAATTTCAGGTTTTTAAAAAAACTTTGAGTTTTTTCAAATTATTGAATTCTAGATTGTTCTCTCTGGTAGAACAGTCATTTTCAGTATTTACTTCCAGAATGTATTGTCATGCTGTTGATGGGCATACTGCACCTGCCTGGTTGTTCTTGTTTCTGGGGGAAGTCAAGATTCCTTGGCTTTACATCTCGTGCAAATTACCTTTCTCACTCAAACAGCCTGGGCTTTTGGTTCTCCCTTGTTACTCTTCAGTTTCCCTTTTATTTTTACATTTCCTTGTAATGGCAACTCAGTGAGCAAATGGAGAGCAGAGGCATTTCATAGAAATGTTACGCTTTGAAAGACTTGAAAAAATACTTCATCTTAGAATTCTCCTTGCAGGGAATGGCAGGCAGCACAGCAGGTGATCAGAAGAGCTGCCTCAGCACTCCTAAAACATTTCCATTTCATCCTGTCTCACTGGAAAAGGGGGATTTTAAATCTTACAACTGGTAGCTCCTTCCCCCTTTAAGGTGCCACAGTTCATTTTCCAGAGTGCAATCTTCCACTAAGGGAAGAAAGCACTTTTACTGCATCAGGCACCTGTTTTCAGCTTGAATCCATGGCCTGACACAACTCCAAGCTCTTGGCATTTCTCTGGGTTATTCTCTTTTACCCTTTTCTCCCAAGCAGCAGTCTGTCTTGTCCTACATGTCCTGCATCTGCTCCCTGCACTGCCCTGCCCTTCCCTCTGGCCTGTGTCTCCAGGGTTCGTACCCAGAATCGCCTCCAGGGACTCCTCTGCCCCAGTAACACCAGCACGCTCACAAATCCTTCACTAAATCACTAAACTTTCCAAGACGGCTCATGAACATCTCGTGTCACACTGATTCAGAATTTCTTGATCTGGTGAGACTAAACCAAAGTGACCCAGGCAAAGAAAAGCAGTATGTGGGAATGTTAATGTCTCCCTCCTCAGGCTCCTCAGCACTGCAGGGTGTTTGCCTGAGGAGCAGCACACCCTGGCCTGCCTTTCCAAAGGGCCTCTGCCAAGGACTTCTGCTTGATTCCAATTATTTAGGCCAGTTGTCTGGACTAAACCAGGGGAAAACTTGAACCTGAAAGTTTCCCTGCATCCTGCCAAGGTGAAAAGAAGCAAGCTGTTAGAGCAGTGCCTTAAGAAGTGTTGTAATATCCAGTGGTGGATGCTGAGGATCAGTTAGATCAGCACTAGGGCATAAAGCCAAGCTGTGGGATGGGGAGGTGGGAAATGCCACCCGGCTCTGGGGAGTCCATGTGGTAATGAGAGGATCACACTGTGTGCAGCTGGGGAGAAGGGTTCAGCTCTGCGTGAGCAGAGAAGATCTGAACAGACCCCCAAAAGACCAGGACAATCTACTTGAGAGAATGCATTGGCAAGCAGAGGCTAGATGGGTATAAACTTGATGAATACTATTAAGAATGTAAATTAAGTGCCCAGAAAAGAAAAGATGATGCTTCATAAAGTTCAAGGGTGATAAATTTTAAGAGGAAAACGGGATCCTTGAATGCAATGTGTATTTCCTGCTTTATTGCTATCATCAGGACACTAAAACTATCTAAAAACTGATTTGACAACAATCATACTGCCATAATAGATGACAAAATACTGGAAGGGCAGAGGCCTTCTGTGTTTAAATTGTAAAACTCTTACTGCAAAGTACTGGTCAATGTGAAATTGGTTCATTTGACAGGGTATTTTGTAATTGCTGATTGCAGTATGTTCTTGGACTGATTTGGTTGCATTTACTACTGGAGATGTAGGGCACTAAAAGGGACCATTGTGTAAAAACATCCTTATGTTCTAATATTAATTCAATTTTTTAATTGTTTCATTTTAGAATAGATGCGGAAAGGTCACAAATATTCGACACAGCAGAAGTATGTTTTTGAAAAATATTTTCTGAATTCCAATCTGATGTATTGATATGATTGTAGAGATTCAGTTTAGTTTCCCCGAGTTTAAATCCAAGTGCTGATTTGATTATATGTACAGAAAATCATTACCAGGATGTCTTCATTAAATCTAAACAAGGGAAATGGTGCAAATATTTTCCTTACTGGATTTCCGTTTGGTGGTCATTTCTAAATTGCTGTGGTGTGCCTTAAACAATCCACTGCATGTGATAAAAATTCATTTTGTAAAAATCTCTTTCCAAATTTGCAGAGGATTTAAGCATTCTTTCTGCAATCAATAGAATATTCCTCTGTCAACCCCTCTTCCTGTTTTACTGTAATAACACAAAAACATGTTCTGACCTCATATCTCTTAGGTTCAAATTAAAATGTGTGAAATTTCTTATCCCTTACTTTGTGATCCGCAAATCAGTGGTTATGTTGATTCTCCCTGGGCTGTTTGAAGGGACAGAAGGAGGGAGTTTGTGCAGTTGTGGTCTGTCCCTGTTGCTGGGCCCAGCCCTGACTCTCTGCTCTCTCTGCAGCTGCGTGCACTGCAACGTCGTGTACTCGGACGTGGCGGCTCTCAAGTCTCACATCCAAGGTTGTCACTGTGAAGTCTTTTACAAGTGTCCTATCTGTCCCATGGCATTCAAATCTGCTCCCAGCACACACTCCCATGCCTACACACAACACCCTGGTATCAAGATAGGCGAACCAAAGTAAGCAAAATTCATCTTCTACTGCGCTTGCCTGCCTTTGAATGAGCTGTGAAATTGCCTTCTGTCCTGTGCTCGCGGTCTTAAAATCACCTCTTGACAGCTGCCAGTGTGGGGGTCATGGAATGCTTTCAGGAGTGTTCAGCTGGCAGTTTGTTGGGCGAAGGTTGCGTTTCCCTGAACCTGCAGCAGTAGGTCTTTAAGCACTGTGTGCTAGAAAAGAGTGATTACAAAATGTAATTACACAAATGATTCGCACAGGTGGCTGGAGTGTTGCTCGTTCTGATGTTTTAATCTGCTTAGCTCATCTGCATTTTTACTGTGAATTAAGATAATGTGATGCCAAAACGAGCTGCTAAGACTCATCAGCACTTACATGGTGATTTTCATAACATCTGGTTGAAAAGTTGGGAAAAAGCGATTTTATCTGTTTATATAAGCTTTTTTCTGATATGTAATCTCTTTCTTTCTGGCTTAGAGCACAAGTGGTTCTTTTCTGTAGCTCGAAAAGTTGTGCATCGTGTGGTGGTTTGCTGAAGGTGGTGACACAGGGCACAGGGTGTTTGTGCAGAGGTGTTGAACGTTGGTGCACTCTGCTGAAGTGCTGATGTGTGTGCAGACCACTTCAGCCCTCAGCTCTGAGCCTGGGGCCTCTCCCTGCACCCCTGCTCTTCCTTTTCCTCCTCGCTGGTACAGTGCACGGTTTAGAGCAGACATTGAGGTGTTGACTCTGTTTTTTCTGTGGTGTGCACAGAAAACAACTCACAGGCTCAAGAAAATAGAAGGCAGATGAGAGAAACAAGGTGCCATGTGATGCACAACCAGAGTTCAGAAGAATTCAGTTTATCACTGTTTCTTCTAACATATTTAAGTTGTTTAAACCTGCATCAAAGCAAAATGGCAACAAACTTGTTAGTAATGTAATTGTAAATCACACAGTTCCAGTAAATGCCAGAGGCATGTGTGTCTGATACCAGATGAAGGCATTTCTGCCCAGTGGTAAATGATACCTTGTTTTAATTCAGGATGGTATCTTGGGTGAGAGGACAGGAGATACTAACATTTGAAACTTGTTTCAGACTCCCATAGCTCTCACTACAGAAAACCAAAAGATTAAGATCACTGTTTGTGTAAGATGCTTCACACAGGACAAGTGAATTGTGCTTGGATCTGCCAATCTGTTTGTGATCAGCTTCACGACTGAAGTATTTTGCATTAGTTTTCTTTCAAGGCCCAAGGCTCCTGTCCGGGGGCACACTCTGGAGTTTACAGGAATTGGGCTCGCAGGGATCTGGCTTCCCGCCCCTGGCATTTACTGGAACTGGGTGATTTACAATTACATTACTAACAGTTGTTTCAGAACAGATGCAGAAAACTATTTGGTGTATGAAAAATGACGTTTATGTGCAGGGATTCTCAGTGGGATGAAATGAGATTATTTTAATGTAGGGAAATGGGATGGCTGCTTGTCTTTCAACTCTGCAAAGCTCTCTCTGTAACTCTAAGCTTGATCTTTTTGAATACTGGAGAAATCTTGTTTCTCAAGCCCAGTTATGGATATCTACTGTTTAGGATTGAAAATCATACTTTTGCTGTGTCTGAAAGAAATATTTGGGTGTGTATAGTCACAACTAACACTGTTAGGTGTGTTGGTATGAATTTAAGTGAGTACGGTCTTTGCCCAGAGACTTGTCAGAAATTTGGATCTTTACCAGATAGTTCTTCTGTGAAAGCAGAGTAAAGTATTTTAGCTGCCATAGAAAACACATATATTCTTGGTGTTTTTAGAGAGTTACAATATTTATATGACATAGATTCAGAATATGTCAGATTTTCTCGTAGCAGATTCACTACAGATCTGCAACAAAGGGTTCACCAGAGAAAGCAGGACAGTAGTACATTGGTCATCAGAGGATGCTGTGTAAATAATACATTTATCTTAGCATATCTTAGTGAGAATTTCTCTTAGTGAGCATTTATCTTAGTGAGAAACTGGGACTGCTTGATACCACAAAAATAGTATCTTGCCCAGTTAATATTAAGTGTACTGTTTTTCATCTGGACTTACAGAATGGCTTGGACATTGAAGAAATGTCCATGTTCTTGTCATCTCACAACACAGTGCAGAGTGATCCTTAGAGCCCTGGAACAATGCACTACTCGTGATAATTGCTAGAGGGATGTGGAATATTTCCATGGGTAATGGGAAGATTCAGCATTCCAGCAGGGCAGGGGGTTTTGTGGGGTGTTTTTCTAATGAAAGGTACTTTGTAGGACAGGGATGGGATTAGGAACCCTGCTTGTGCAGGGGAAGCACCTGTTGCTGTACTGAGCACCCGTGGCTGGGTTTCTTTGATTTCAGCCAAACTGTCCCTGCAGCACTACCAAAGCCATGGCTGCTGATCTGGGGTAAGAATATTGCCTGTCAGAGGAGGGCACTCAGGGGCTCAGTTCCAAAGTCCCACATGCTCCAAGAGAGGAAGGTGTGGGTTTGGCAGTGTCTCTGCGTTGCTCTGACAGACAGACTGATAAAGGTTTGTAATGGCAGACCAAGGAAATACTGTCCTGCATTCTTGGAGCTTCAGAGCATTAACAGAATCTAGGCTTGGCATTCAGGAGCTTCAAAGCCACAGATATTGCCAAAAATACACTTATCTTGAAGTATGTTGCTAATTATGATTGAATCAATCACTCCCTTAAAACATACTGCCTTTGCAGCCTGAAACAGGTGTACTGTCCTTTAGCTACAGCATGAGTTCAGAAACTGCAGATGTTGAACTTTCAGAGTATCCTGAGCAGATGTTGATGTTATGTATGTAACTGGCATATGCTGTTGTTTTCTGGCTTCTTGTTTGCACTTTTAAAATAATTTTTTCTATTTTTGTGTTTCTTCTAGTGCTCCCATATTTTGACATTAGAGGACATTTCGAATTAGTTTAACATTTTTCAGGCAGTGTGAAACAATTGCTTAAACATGTCAGATCTTATCTCTGATGAGAAAAAAGTTAACATCGTGATTCTTGCAAATAGATCATCTATATGACTGACATTGTTTATTGTACTTCTGTTTTTAGAATAATATATAAATGCTCTATGTGTGACACTGTGTTTACTCTACAACCTTTGCTCTATCGCCACTTTGATCAGCACATTGAAAACCAGAAGGTGTCTGTTTTCAAGTGTCCAGACTGTTCTCTTCTATATGCACAGAAACAGCTTATGATGGATCATATCAAGGTGTGTAGGCATCTTCTCTTGTTTCCTTCATAGGTACCGTTTTTCGTGCATTATATGCTGGGAGAACATACTGTGAAAAGGTACAGAATAACAAGAAGGCTGATGAGGGAGATGTTGTTAATTCCAAGGGGGTAACCTGTGAATATTGTTCTCAAATGTTAAAATGTTATATCTTGTATGGTCTGTAGTGGGTTGACCCTGGCCAGATACCAGGTACCCACTAAAGCAGCTCTCTCACCCTCCCTCTGCAACTGGACAGAGGAGAGAGAAAAAAAACCAGCTAAGAATTCATGAGTAGAGATAAGAGCTGGGAGAGGTCAGTGACTGATTACCTTCACGGGCAAAACAAGGCTCAGAGTGGAGACAGTTCTTTTTTTTAACTAAATAGGCAAATTCTGTAATTGCAGTGTATGTCTTGTTTTGGAATTAGTTTTTCCTGACTCAGGTATTATTGGAAAAGCATTGTTACATCTGTACATAACCATTTCTGTAAGAGCTGAAGATCATCTTCTGAGCTCGATCTGACTGCAGTTAGGGTCAGAAGCTACCCTTACATAAATCAGGGTGGTTCAGCATCTCACATTTTAAAGTTAAGCTAAGTTACTTGCATGTGGGCACTGTTTAACTCTTTAGTGTTTCATGCCAGTATTTGTACTTCCCACCAGTGGGGTTTTAGCATGGTTCACTGTAAATGACTCAGACAGTTTGGAGACTGAAATTAGAGGGTTAGAGAAGACATGTGCAGTAGCAGTACTACTGGTTTTACAAATAGGATGTGTGTACAGTAGTAAGGCCAGCAGCAAAGCAGTATAAATTGGAGTTCAGTTAAGGGGGAATAAAAAAACAGTACCAGGCTATAGATAAAAGCAGAAAAGGACTCAGGGAGAGGACGAGTGCCCGGCAGGGGCAGAGCTCAGCTGCACAGAAAGTAATGGTTTGGTATGGCTAGACAGAAACCATCAAGGCAGAGAGAGACCTGGATGAAAGCAGAACAGAAAGGAACAGGAGGAAGCTCAGGAGAAGGTTATTTAAAGCTACAAAAAATAACCCAGAATAATTCCTGCAGATGTCAATGTTTCTTAATGGCAAAACCTATGTCTCCTTTTCCTGCAATGACTCACTCCAAGAGAATTTCCAGCAGCCAGTGAGAGCAGGTGCTGGAGGACTGGACTGGACTGGAGGTGTAACACTCCCCGTCTGGCTGGTGGCACGTGCTGCCAGCACTGGGACTCCAGGCTCTGCTTTAATGCTTTTGGGGTATTTTCAAATAAGAAATTAAATTTCAAGTATTGAATTTAAAAAACATTTAGAAAGTTGAGCACTAACATTTTACATGCTGACAAGTTAGGCTGGGATGGAATGTCCAGGTCAGCTTCAGTTGCCTGGAAGTACAGGAACCTCCCTTCCCTCTCCCCTGTGCACTGGGATACTAAAGGCAGCCTCCTCCTTTACTACACACCTTCACTTTGCTTTAGAGCCAGCCAGTTGGGCCTGTGTGCTTTGCTTTTTTTATTACCATTTTAGGGGTTTTAATTACTGGTTTTCCTTCTATTTAACAGCTCTTAAACAGAAGAATAGAATGCTCTACAGATGAGGTTGATATTTGCTCTAGAGCCAACAGGTAGTCCCAAGAGCCACAGGATTTACAAAAGAACCTGTTACCAGAGTATGAGATTGGTGTTCCTATATTCTCAGAATCAAGAATGTATTGAATGGGGTTTTTGTGTCTGAGGTTACCTGAAGGAAAAGTGTTCCCTTTGGGATGGTTCAACGTATCCTCCAAGAGAGCTGTCCTAAGGGTCAGGAGATGAGAGGATCAGAACCCTATCAGGGTAAAGGACAAACAAACCTTTTAGATGTGAGAGCCCTCGACCATGGGTTCAGGAGGGACTGCAGTTGTCCCAGAGCCCTGCAGACTCACTCCTGCTGTGCCCACATCCATGGACGGAGCTGGGACACAGGGCCAAAGCCCCCTGGGACACAGGGCCAAAGCCCCTCGGCTCTTCCTGAGCCAGTCCCCGTGTGGGTGTCACCCCAACACACAGCACACCAGCTCAGAAATGGGGAGGGAGAGGCTCTTCCCTCCTTCCTGACCACTGACAGGAACTCAACCTCAACATAAAACATTCATATATCCTAAACTATAGAGCTGTCTGATGTTTCTGATGGTTTGTCCTATTTACCAATGTGGCAAGTCAAAATTTGTCAGTAAAAGCCTTTCCTTCTTGGAAAGCGTCAGTCACATAGTCTGAAGTGAGGATGCACAACTAGTATGTTAGGTAAGTAAAGCAAGAAATTAAACTGAACAATAAGTGTTTCTTGAGCCCTTTTTTCCTCCCTGTTAAACAGCAATTTAACCTTAAGTGTCTCATTTTTTTTTGTGTGTGTGTGAAAATACCTACAGATGGAGTCTGTTACTGGTGTTGGCTGTGTCATGCTAGGCCTTGCCTTAACCCTGTTTCTTTAAGAATGTGATCTGATGATAACAGTATGTGATTTGATGATAATAGTTTGACAAAGAAGTAAGTGAAGGCTTTTGGTTCAAAGGGTCAGTGCATTTTGTCAGTACAACTTTGTACGTCTATGTTAGTTTTGTACTTTTTTTTCTCTTTTATTGTAGTCTATGCATGGAACTCTGAAAAGTGTTGAGGGGCCACCAAACCTGGGGATAAACCTGCCTCTCAGTACTAAACCCACGACGCAGAACTCAGCCAGTCACAACAAGGAGGACACAAAATCTGTCAATGGAACAGAAAAGTTGGAGAAGAAATCTCCTTCTCCCATAAAGAAAGCAGAGCCTAAAAAAATCGCTAATCCTGGCTGGACATGTTGGGAGTGTGACAGGCTCTTCACACAGAGAGACGTTTACATCTCCCACATGAGGAAAGAACATGGAAAGGTAAAGGAATATACTGAATTACAAAAAAGTTAAGCACACCTGAAATGTGAAGTAGTTTTTCTCTAAATTCCATTTGTGTTTTTGCAAATAATTCCTTTAAGTTTCATCATTATTCTTCTCTGGTTTTATATCTATTTCATATTTTTCTCTTTAGCTGCTGCTTAGTTTTTGTTACTTTCTACATAGTTCTACTGAGGAAATCTACCCACTCTTACTGAATTGCAGGCTTGTTCTTTCAGTACCAAAATGTTTTCAAGATGGAAAGAGTGAAAAATGTTGCACTCTTTCATCCAAGTCATCTAATCTGATCCATGTTCTTATTTCTTCTTTGTGCCTTCTTAGTTCCCTTTCACTCTGGGCAGTTGTGTGACTGTGGCAGTGCTGGGGTAACAGTTGGATTCGGTCTGAATGGTCTTTTCTCACCGAAACAATTTGATTGTATTCTGTTCTGAAGTTCGGTGCCTCTCAGACTCAGGAAGTGGGGCCTCAGTCTTGTTTTGCTGGTCCCATGAGTGCCAAGCAGTGTTTCGGTTTCGGTTTCACTTTCAGTTTCAGTTTCAGACGCACTCTGTGGTTGAGCTCTTGCTCTAATCTTACACTTGTAGGTTCAGCTGAGTTCACAAGTTGCATTTTGTATTTAAAGCAGCTGGATTTGAGACATCTTACTTTAAAATGGATTGAAAGTGAAATATGGGAATGCTGCATCCTCAAGTCAGCAGAGCCCCCGTTTGCTGTTGTTCTCCGTTCAGTAGCGCTTCCAGTTAAATGAAATTAAAAAGACAGGCAGGCAGTAGTGGCTCTGCTGAGCTGTGTCTGAGACAGGCTGTGCCAGCTCCAGCCTGCTGCTGACCCATGGCTCTCCAGGCCTTGCCTTGAAACAGTCTGACTCTTCCCTCAGCTGGGAATCAGGGAATTAAACCAATGTACTGTGCTGCACTGCAGCAACAGAGCAGAACTGGAAGGAATAACAGGCTTATTTTGTCTAAGTGGAGGAGAATCATCCATCTCTGATGTTTATGTTATCTCAAGAACAGCCCTTACTATGCAATATTAGATAATTGTTGCACTCAAATACCGGCCTAAAGGCCTCTTTTATTGCTTACATTCAGGTGCTGTTTTTTATCCCTCTTCAAGCAGTTCCTCGAATAACACAGGAGGCAGACAGATATTCAGATGAAGAGATACAACTCCATGTCTTTCAGAAATGGGAAAGACCAGGTGCTACACTCCTTCCTGAGGAGTCTGTGGGATTGGCTGCCATTGCAGAAACCAACGCATCCCAAATCCTATTTGGTCTCTGTCTGGAGTCTCCCCAAGACATTTAGAATGAATGTGGTGTCACAGCTGGCTATCCCAGATAGTGCCCCCAGTGCTCTGAGAGGGACCAGGCCCTGCTGAGCACTCTCCTCGTCCTGCTTTTCTGACCAAGGGCTTGATGCATCCATGCAGTGCTGACACATCTTCGATGTGTGACTGCTCCATCCTTCTCACCTTCTCACCTTCTTCCTTTTCCTTCTGCTTGACAAACTGCAATATAAACCCCACAAAATTCCCCAAACAGATGGGCCTCAAGTTGGCATTGGACAATATTTCTCATTTCATTGTGACTTCTCTGAGCCCTGTTAGTGTCTCAGTGTCTGTGAGGCTCAGTTTTGGTCTTCTTTCTGTGCTCTTCGTGCTTCCTCGTATGTGGCTGAGGAGCTCCTGGTCAGCAGCTGCAGACATAATTTGGTTGTGGAAGGGAAAGCAAATCTCTCACTTTACTGCCTTTACTGATCCAGAAATAATCCACTGATCTTCCTTGCTTCTTTGGTGGAAGAAATTGGCTTCACCCCCAGTCCGTGACACCAGTGTACAACTGGTGGCAGGTGTATGTGTAGCTCATTTTGGCCACATGGCTTTGAAAGAGGCCCAGCTCTGACTTGTGCGGTGTTGCTGAAGGAGGGGTGTGTACAAAAAAAGGGTAAGTGATGTTTCTTTCCTGTTATCAAAAGGTTCGACACATGCTCTATTTTACTGAGCTTTTTTAACTAATGCCTTTCTCTTCTTTTTTTAAAGCAAATGAAGAAACATCCATGTCGACAATGTGACAAATCTTTCAGTTCTTCCCACAGTTTATGTCGTCACAATCGTATCAAACACAAAGGCATTAGGAAGGTTTATACATGCTCGTAAGTTCTACTTTTATCTATTTAAAAACCCACTGTTAGCTGAAACTCTTTCCTCGCCTGTGTAAAAGCCAGTATGGCATCGATTGAGATGGGCAGGAATTTCGATGCAGACAGGCCAAACCAGTCCCCTGTGCTGCCTGCAGACGCAGCAGGGCTGTGAGAGCACAGTGCATAAAGTCTGCGAGCAGATCTGAAACTCGGCTGAGCTGAGGGTTTGCTTGGCTGGCAACTGGGGTCACCACCGTGCTGAACCTGGGTTTCAGGAGTCTCTCAAACACACAACCACTCTTTTAATCTACAAAAGGCACTTGTTAAGCATAACATTGAATGGGTGTGTGTTTGTGTGTCTGCAGGCACTGCCCAGATTCGAGACGTACTTTTACCAAGAGGCTGATGTTGGAAAAACACATTCAGTTGATGCATGGTATTAAAGACCCTGACGTGAAAGAAATGGCTGAAGCTACCAATATGGAAGAAAGGGAGGTAAAAGAAGACACAAAGGTAATCACTTGCAAGATTCATTCCTTCACGGAGGGTGATTTTTTGTGGGTATAAATTCAGGATCTTTAAATAGATATGCTTATTTTGATGCCTTAAAGGTCTCACCTTCAGTGAAGCAGAGCCCCAAAAGCATTGTGTTTATCAGAGTTGTACTGGAATCTGCCAAGGGAAAGTTTCTGACGTTTGCAAGTCACAAATAGCAATGAAAAGAACTGCTCATTTATGCTTACGTGATACCCCATTTCTGTCCCTTTTTTAGGTTCCTAGTCCAAAGCGTAAATTGGAAGAACCTGTACTGGAGTTCAGGCCTCCACGAGGTGCAATCACTCAGCCATTAAAAAAGCTGAAGATAAATGTTTTTAAAGTTCACAAGTGTGCAGTTTGTGGCTTTACAACAGAAAATCTTCTCCAGTTTCATGAACATATTCCTCAACATAAATCTGATGGCTCTTCATACCAATGCAGGGAATGTGGACTCTGCTACACATCTCACGTGTCCCTCTCCAGGCACCTCTTCATTGTACATAAGCTGAAGGAGCCTCAGCCAGTATCAAAACAGAATGGGTCTGGAGAGGATAATCAGCAAGAAAACAAACCCAATCATGAGGATGAATCATCTAACAGTGCAGCATCAGACAGGCGATGCAAAGTGTGTGCAAAGACTTTTGAAACTGAAGCGGCCTTAAACACTCACATGAGAACACATGGCATGGCCTTCATTAAGTCCAAAAGAATGAGTTCAGCTGAAAAGTGATCAGATTACTTGGGATGCAGAAATCTCTCTCTCCACATTGGAATACTAAGGACATTTTTGCTACAGAAAGTTCAAGGTATAATAGTGTTGCAATATATTCTGCATAAAAGTGTCCCCTTCACCTCATTGTCTATATCCTCAGAACCATTGAAGCAGTATTTGAGTTGAAAAGAGTTTGTATATATTTAAACTAATAATTTTTATACTCTTTGTTATGTGTTTGTATCGGTATCTAGTGGAAAATTTGTTTTTTTCTGTTTTGTTTCTGTTTTTTTGTAGTAAGTTTCTTTAAAACAGAGTTCTGAATGCTGGGGCAGTTCCTTAGGTTCTCTTAAGCTGTTTCTTTTTTGAATGCTTCCGAAAGAAAGTTTAGCTAATGGAAGTGCATCAGAAGGCAGTGCTTGGAGGGGAGAAGGGAAGAGAAGCAAGCTAAGATTTTAAATTCTAAGAACTTGCGCTTCTAAATGTCTGTGGAAGCTTTTAAACTTTCTCTTACAAAGTATATATTAAAAAGAAAAAGAAGTACCACTGCATGTGTAAAATGCAGTGCTGGTTTTTAGGTGGCAACACCAGAACAGGTGCAGACCCCCTAGAGCAGTAAAGTACTTTTGAAAAGTATAATTGCACAACTCTATGTATGATAAAGTGATTTTGTTTAGGTCATCAGGTGCTTATGATCAAAGCTCAAATTGTTACAAAAGGGCTGGGCTGCTCTGGATTTAACAAATAAGATGTAATTAGAGGAATAGGTTTATAATGATGATGTTTTTTGTCATGTAATTTATTAAACATTATATAGAAGCGAGTACACAGCATTACGTATTTTCCTTTTTGGTTATTGAAAGCAAATAGTTGACCCTCGCTGCAGGGGCTGGCGTTTGCCAGCTCTGCACACTCATGCCAAACGTTCTGGTGCTCAGTGTCACACACAGCCACAGCTGGGAAGGAGCCAAGGCCCAGCCGTGGGTGTGACGGGGGCTGGAGCCTCAGCACAGGCCCTCGGCGCTCGGGAGCCACCGCAGGCCCGCCCGGCGCCTCCGGTTCCGCTTGCACAAGTACACAAAGGTACCATCCCGGCCCTTTCAGATAGAGTTCTCTGTGAGAGTATATTTTTGGTTTGTTTTTGCATTTTATACCTTGTATGTATCCCTACGAGAAAAAATTTTGTACTTTTTTTTAAAACAAATTGTGTATATATAGATAGCTGCATGAGAAACAGTAGTAATTGTTGGGTTCCTTAAAAGTCTTGCTGCTGTCAGATGTTACTATACACTATGTCCGTTACAACTGTATTAAACACATTTCATATGTAAATAAATGTGGAGCATTTTGCCCCTAAAGATTTGTGAGATTCTCTTATTTATCATGAAACTTTAACAGTTTTAAAGTTTGAAGTGTTTAAAAAAATACGGATCCTCTCAGCCACCTCTGTAAAACTTCTCAGTCACTCTGGAAATTGTGTATTGGATACGTTAGTTCTGCTCTCTCCATCCTCATTCTTAATTTGGCTCATCAGTAAATGCTCGTTAGGCCAGTTCTCTTACTGGCATACTGAGTGGTTATGAGGTACTTCTCCACCCTACAGCAGGATCTCAGTGTGTGATGTAAACTGCCACCACTGCCCTTCCATTCAGTGGATACCTCTGAACACTTGTTTGTTGATGTGCACTGTCAACTGTACAACAAATGAGTTATCACTATGCAGAATGGTGTTTTGTATACAGTGAACAGATAATAAAAGTTAAATTTTCACAGCCATTACTAATACCTTTGTTTATTTTCCCTTTTCACTGCCTTGTCCCCGCAGGGGATGCTGTGAACCAGTAGCTTATGCCATTGCTGGTGCCACCAAGATGCAAACCACAACAATTTCCTGGCCAGTAACCTGACAATATGAACGGGTCTGTGGTTCCAACCAGGAGCCGGGGTCCTGCACTGCCACTGCCCCTGGGAACTTAAGGGAGAGGGTCTTGAACTGCCCTGTAACTCCACACACACTTCTGTGGCAGACCCGACACGCTGCTAACAGGAGGGGAATGTCCCGAAGACCAGGAGGGGAACTGAACAGAAAGCAACAAGAGACACAGTGGAAAGGCACAAATCTGAGTAGGCAAACCTAGGGGAATTATCTCCTCTTGTAAACCATAAAGAAAACATTTAAACTTATTTTTGCCTGAGATCTGACACTTGAATTGTTTGCTTTTAATTAACATCGTGCCACTGACAGTCAATTGCAGTGATAACATTAATAGTCCTCTTTTCTACATCTTTCCTCTGAGGATTTAATGGTAACGGATTCAACCTCATATCTGTGTACATATATATGTATATGTATATATGTATATGTCCTCTTGTGTACGTTCCCATCCCATCCCTTCTCCAGGGAGGCAGGAAGCACACCGAAACCTCTGCCCAAGTATCCAGCTGCAGAGAAAACTGCCCAACCAGGACTGCACCAAGGCTCAGCTTCAATAAAACTGATTTTTCACACTCAGGGAGGTGTTTAGCCTTGCCTTGGCCTGCTTGCACACAGGCACAGACAGAGGTGAATCTTACCACAGCCACTGTACTTTTAGACCTGTCTGTTTTTTTTATTTCTGCAGGGCACTTACAGATGCACAACTCAACCTGCCAAAATGTTCCCAGTTCTTAACCTCTGTGTACCTGTGGGGAAATCAGTACGGCAAGCCTATTTACTTTTCAAAGGATTTTTATATAACTCTGACCTTCTCATTCTGTTAATATAACCTTTCTCAGTACACCTATCACACACACGCAGCTGCCAGGCCAATAATGGGACACGGAATAACCTATTTTAGTTTAAAACCTTTCTCAAATATTAGGGCAGTTCAGTAGTCAATTCTTCGTATTTGAATTTCAGATTATTACTAAAAGGTTATCTGCCGAGGCTCCCTGAAGGGCAACTAGGGTGAGGATTGGAGTGACAAGAGAAATAAGTACAGAACATGGCAAACACAGAAGGCACAAGCATTCCCGACCCACAGCCCTGGGCTTTGAGTAGAAACTGGCTTCTACAGCCAGAAGCAGACGCAGAAGGAGTGCAAAAGAAGGAGCCACTTCTTGCCCCCTCCCTGAGCACTTCTTCCCTTTGAAAAAAAATTGTATTTGCTCCTCAACAGTGACTGTACAAAAACTGGTTTTAATGTTATTTCTTTCACAGCTGGGGAAAAAGGACAGCTTTCCTTCCTGGGGACCAAAGGGCCCATTTGAGGGCATCACAGTGAGACACTGCACTGGGAATGACCCAGATTCACCTGGAAAATGAAGTGGAGGCACTGCAGCTTTCTTCTCTGACCCCAGGTTTCTACGTTGAAGGCAGAAATGTGTTTGGCGCTGTAATGTGACTATTAGTAAAATAAGCTGAGCATTGTATCCTTCCCAGACATGTCCCCTAATATGATTTGGCAAAAGCCTTTATGCAGCCCATTTATTTCCTCTTCTCAAATGCTGCTATTTTGCATTCAATGACTCTAATGTGATGGTGGGCTATGGATGCAGTGCATTATGAGGATTGCTCCTGCCGAGTCAGGCCACACTCGGCTGGCACTGCCAGAGCTCCGTGGGCCAGATTAATATTGCAGGGCAAGCACAACAATATTTCCTGCCTTAAGTGACTGTCACTGTCTCAGTTAAAATGGAGAGCAGTCCCTGAATGCAATCAGGGTGGAGGAGCTAGGGTCTCAAAATATCCCTTGGTCATTACATTTACATACTGTTGCTCCTGGCAAAATGAGCCCAGCCCTTTCTATGCAGCACAGGTTAAGCAAATAGCACATAGTTAATTAATATAATTATTCCCCTTCCCCAGCACAAAGCAAAACCTAACACATTACAAGCATTTTTAGCCTACTAAGAGATTGTTCTTGAGTAAGGGTTAAATATTTCCTTTTTTTAGAATTTTTTAAAAACCTTTTTGCCTTCCCCTCATTTATTCTTGGGCAGTTTTAAAAATTAAACTTTTGTTTCACTTGGGAAAGCCTAAACATTTTGTCAGGTTGTTTCTGACTTTTTTTTTCTGTTCCATGGGGGCAGGGGAAGGAAAAGAGAACATTATTTGCTAAATTCAACTGAGTGTTCGGATAGCTGGATCCCTCCCTCTCCTTCCCCTTTTTCCCCAGAAAAATACATTATTTTCACAAATAAACTATTGCCTGAAACAGCTCCAACTCAGCTGAAATCCAATTATCTCTCCAGACACTGGGTTGCAGAGCAGACTAAAACTGTTGACTCATACACTTAAAAACACGAGCATGCAAAGCGCCCCTGGGGTTGCCAACCGTGCCCCTGAACAGGTCCTTGCCAGCTCCCAAGGCAGAGGACAGCACTCATGGGAGAAGTGACACGAGACAGAAGCCACCCATGCTCCAAAGCAGTGGCCTCCAAAGGGGGGTGCAAATCCAGGGGTGTGCAGGAAGAAAATATTCTTTGTACCATTACAAAACTGCAATGAAACGCAATGCAATGAAATGCAAGTATTAGAAGAATCCAGACTGGAGTGTGCTACTGGTGCAAGTGGCACCCCATTGCTTTTGGAGAGCCCTGTGTGCACCACGGGCTGCTCCAACAGCCTGCTGAGAACAGGAATGGGAAGCAAATAGCTCCCAATGGATTTGGACACAAAGAGTGCTCCCCAGGGAAGGCAGTTACTGTGCTGCTGCTGTGCTTTGCTGAGGGGCTGCAAAAGGACTGCTCTGGCTTTCCCTATTAACCCACACGTCTCAGCCCGAGGGCAAAGTGCCAGTTATGTGCCCATGACCAATCTCTTAGAAATCAAAGAGCTGTAATTCAATATTCTATGTACAGGCTGTTTGCAAAGGTCTGGCAAATCTGCCAGAATGCCAAGAGCTACATTTTTCTGTGCACTAAAAAACTACCATCATTTTCTAGCTGCAGAGCTCCAAAAGATCTACTGTACAAATATTGAAGTCAAACATCCAGAGTATGGGAAGATTTCAAAATACATGTAACCTTTAATAATCTAAACCATGCAGCTGGTAAAATAACAAAGCCACCAACAGAAGTGTAGGTGATTCCTAGCACCTGTGCAAAAGGAAGAAAAGCAGCTTCCTAACACGTTTCCCTTGCCTCCCCATGAAAAATGGGGGAGTTCCAGCGTTTTCTGAGCCATCAAACACCAATCACAATCAAACTGAGAGGCAAAGATACTGTGGTCTCAGAATTAAGTGTGGGTTTGTGCCTTGGACAAAAGAATGTCCCACCTCTGTGAACAAAAAATAAGCAGCTTCAATCCTACCGGGTCTCAACGGAAAGCTGCCTTCTTGCCTCTCTCAATTCTCCAAATGACAGTCCCATGTCACAGCGCTGCCAGCTCACGTGCTGAACCAGGAGAAGTCTGAAAAAGTTCATTAGAGGATAATGTCAGCCAACCTGAGCTACTGCAAACACGACAACCACTGCAAAAGAACCTTGCACACAACTTACACACTTGCCTGGGAGAAGCGGGTAATAGAAAAGTGTCAAATATTTACTGTTAAATGTAAACACATCATAAATGCAAAGTAAGTGTTAAATCTATTCTATTTCAGTAGCAATTTGGGGGTGGCATAGTGTGTTTTGGAACAAAAGCTGGTTTGTTATGTTTTTTTTGTATTAATGTAATATGATATTCTGCATTAATATAAAGAATCAATAGCTAAGGTGAAATGTGCAGCTATAGCCACAAGAAATAACATAAAGATTTCCTTCCAATAGCAAGTAAATTTAACAAAGATGTCTTTGTCAGATTGTTGCTAATTGACTATGAGTTACTGGTCTGAGCCCTAGTGTAAACTGCTGGTATGTTCAAATGTTTTTAGGTGTATTCCAGGTACAACTATTTCTGCAGTGAATGAGAACTTGGCCTCTTTTTTTGCTTTCTGGGAGAGAAATGTAATTAGACAGTGGGTAGCTTATGTGTCATATGCTTTAATTAGCAGTTTTGTGATCATTACTTCCCAGTTGTATTGGTATCACACACATGGGAAATGTGTTTATGGGAGCAGCCAGCCATGGAAAAGCTGGATTTTCCAAGCACTGGCAAGGTTTACAGGCTCCAAAGTGGGCGTGGATCCTAAATCATCATCACCACGGTGTGCATCTAACAACACCACCGATACAAACAACAGTTTATTCATCAGGGTAACCCACAGGTATTTAGACCTTCCCTAAAGCTTCACTGAACTGTTACCTTTATCATTCCTTTTCTCTCTTCCATGGACATCTCTGTACACTTTGCAAAAGGCCTCGACACATCGCTGAAGAAGCATGACACTAGCTAGTGTCCTTGGAGCTTTCTTTCCAATATCCATGTGCCATTTCTGTCCATTCCTGAGAGCATTACACCTTCCTCTGTGATCCAATGCAAGTTCTGCCTTTCTTAGTCAGTCCTAATCCCTCTTGTCCAACTGTTTGCCAACAGAAAGTCTCGCTCAATTTCTGGCAAATTACAGAAACACCTTTCCAGTCCTCCACAAACTGCTTCCTTCCACTGATCTTAGCAGCATTTCCTTGTGTTCTTTGTTCTCCCATTGTCATCCCCAGTCTTCAGGGGCTAATTGGTGAAAACCTCGTTGGGTTTGGTTCATGTAATTCACAGGAAATCAGGCTCTGGGCAAGGACCTGTACCCATGTGGTAGCTGCTGCTCCAGACTCACGTAATCATTCAGATGCTGAACTGGGAATGGGCGCTGCCCGAGGGGCCTCACACCCTGCCAGCCCCACTGGGAGCAGCCCCGGCCCATCCTGAGGGCAGCCAGGCTGGCAGAGGGCACTGAGGGGCTGCCACTCACAGCCGGGGCTTTTCTGGGCCTCTGTGCTCATCTCTGGAGCGGCCCATGAAAAAACCCTGAGGGTACCGCTGGCTGCTGAGACGAGATGGCTCTGCTCGCAGCTGGTGAGGAGGAGACTGCGGTGTGCCAGCCTGCGGGCTTCCGAGGCACAGCCCGCTGCGGGCTGGAGGGCTGGGCAAGGAACCACGGCGGGGCCGCTCCACCCTCACCTCGCTGTCCCCTCACAGTCTGCCGGGGCCGCTCCCCTCACACTGCTCTGCCCTCACACTGTGCTGCCCTCACACTGCGCTGCCCTCACACTGCGCTCCCCTCACGCCGCTCTGCCCTCACACTTCGCTCCCCTCACACCGCTCTGCCCTCACACTGCGCTCCCCTCACACCGCTTTGCCCTCACGCGGCTCTGCCCTCACACCGCTCTGCCCTCACACTGCACTCCCCTCACACCGCTCTGCCCTCACACTTCGCTCCCCTCACACCTCGCTCTCCCCTGACAGCGCCCCCTGCCGCCCGCCCGGCACGGCCCCCGTCCCGCCAATGAGCGACGCACACGCCGCGGGGGCCCCAGGGGTGCCCACGGCATTCGCCTGACCCAAAGCACTGTCCCCGGGAAGCGGCGCCGCCTTCCCGGCGCTTCGCGGGGGCACGCGGCTCGTGCCGCCGTTCGGGGGGCTCTGAGCGCCCACCGGGAGCCCCTTGGGACAGCCAGCTCCTCAGGCATCTCCAAGGGCAGCAGGCGAGAGGGCTCGCCCTCAGGACCCCTCGCCGCGGTGCATGCTGGGAGTTGTAGTTCGCACGGTAGGAGGCCCTCTGAGTGTCAGCGGGGCGGGAGGGGAAGAAGACTACAGGTCCCGGGGAGCAGCGCGGGACCCGGCGCGGCGCCGCCGCTGTTGGGGCGCGGGTCTGTCGGCCGGGGAGCCGCCGGGGCCCGACATGGATCTGTTCGGGGACCTGCGGCGCATGAACAAGCGGCAGGTACCGGCGGGGCCGGGCAGCCCCCAGGGCACGCACCGCAGCGGCGAGCGGGGCTTTGCAGACGGGAACGCCGGTCTGGCATTTCCGGCTCCGTATTTTACGCCAGGGAGAAAGGGGGACGGGCAGTTCCCGGGTAGAATGAGCCAGAATTGAGGCACACGGTGGATTCAGGCTTTATGCTGCAGTATGATGAATTCTGACATGGCAATCTGTGCCATGAGACTCGCGTTGGAATAGGATTTTACTGTGAAAGCCCTCGTGCCTGGACTCTGTGGGCTGAATTTCTATGTTGTTCTTCTAAATTCAATACAGTAACTAAAAAACCAATTTTCTTGTTTCACACAGCTGTATTACCAAGTCCTAAATTTTGCTATGATAGTGTCTTCTGCCCTTATGATCTGGAAAGGGCTCATCGTGGTCACTGGCAGTGAGAGCCCAATTGTCGTGGTGCTCAGGTGAGTCACTGTACAGGCTTTCTGCTTCAAGTCCAGGGATTGTTTTGCCCTTTGTCTCTTCCCCTTTCCCCTTGGATACATTTGGAATTTTAAATTCCACTTACTTAAAGAACTACTGGAACACCTACTTTCTTCTAACTCTCTTTTGGACCCTGAGCAAAGGCCTTTGCTGTAACCATGGCCCAGTTTCAGCTGAGGTTTGTAGGAGCAGTAACTGTGTGAGATCTTTCAAATGTCCAGGTTCCTTCACTTGATGGATAAACTACCCCAGATTGCTTACTGGGATTTGGGGTTTGTTACATGACTGAACAGTGTTACCGAATTAGTGAAGCTACAGATTTCAATTTAAATTGTGAGTTTATCTGTAAGAACTAAATGTTCTTTGATTTCATGGTTCTTCTTTCATTTACCATAATACCAATAAACTCTTTCTTTCTTGTTGTTCGTAGTGGCAGCATGGAACCAGCTTTTCACAGGGGAGACCTGCTGTTCCTGACGAATTTCCACGATGACCCGATCAGAGCTGGTGAAATAGTTGTTTTTAAAGTTGAAGGCAGAGACATTCCAATAGTTCACAGAGTAATCAAAGTACACGAAAAGTAATGCAACTTGTCCTTTTCCTTGTTCCTAAAGATACTTTCTTTCCCTGGGATTTTCAGTTACAGTTTGATAGTAGTTTATGAGAAACTAAGAGGAAATTCAGAGGAACCCCGTGGCACAAGCCATAGGAGTTATTGCTGGCAGCAGGAATGTGTGTGGCAGCAGAGCCCACTTCTGTACTGGTGGCTGTAGGAGTGGGATTTTGGTTGTGAGAAACAGCTGCTTCTAAGAGCAAATCTCTGAAAGAAGGGGAGGATTCAGAATCAGAACTGGAGGTGCAGCCTGAGGAGTATATAACCTTTGCTAACTGAAGTTGTCCAGATTTGACTAGAGTAAAAGAATAGGTTCTTATTCTCCTTGTGTCTGTTGGTCACACTGCCAGCAACAATTCAGGCTGGAGAGCAGCAGAGAGAGTTCTGGGGTTTGCCCTTATTGCATGTGCCTGCAATGATAAACTGTTCCTTCTGAAGCACAGGAGAGGCAGTTTTCCTTCTAGTTCTGCACAGTGAGAAGCTAAGCTGGAGGTGGCAAGCACTGACATATTTGCTCCTCAGCAAGTGAACTGAAGGTGTTTATTTCTTGAGTAACATCTGTGCTTCAGTACTTTTTTGAAACAAATATGTATATCCAAGAATTACCTATTTGATCTATTTATTACCTAATTTATCCTCATGAAAACTCCTTGTTTCTTGATATTAGTGCTTCAGCAAAACCCTTTTGAGGATTGTGAACTTCATAACTTGATTACAGCTTGTGTTCTGTTGAAAATGCAGATAGACACATAGGCCTTTGTTGAGGAAGTTGTGTGCCTGGGTGGACAACATCCCTTTCATATCCACTGGGTAACTGCTTACATCAAGTGACAATCTGGGAGTGTTTTAAAACCATTTCTTGTTAATACCTCTTGACAGATATAGTCAATAAAATCTGTAATGTTAATGGTTTAATGGTGTTTGTTCAACAAGCAGGACTGAAAGCAAACATTGTTATCTAATCTTGTAGTACTTTTCATCCTCATTATAGATGTTTATTGAGGTTTTTAAATTAGGTGGTACTTAGTTTATCGCCTCATTGCCTTCTAGAGGAAATGGGAACATCAAATTTCTGACCAAAGGTGATAATAACGAAGTTGATGATAGAGGCTTGTACAAAGAAGGTCAGAACTGGTTAGAGAAGAAAGATGTTGTCGGAAGAGCAAGAGGGTAAGTAATTTAAAATGTACTTTATAATCAAATAGAAAAAAAATTTACTTCTTGAGTCAGTTCCAATGTAATACAAACTAGATCTGGTGTGGTATTTTTTTAATTTCTTAAAAAAAATTGTAATTAAAAAAAAACCCACACTGGAAAATTCCTTCCTGTAGTCCTCTCCCTGATGTGGGAGTGGAATTTAATATTTGGGGGGAAAAGGCACATGTAACAAATAGTTCTTCTATAAATACAAAATTAACCAACTTATCTTTGTAATTGCTGGAAATTCCTAGGAAATTGTTTCAGCATTCCACAGGAATTTTATGCAAGGTTTGAGCTTTGGACTTTGTCCCCTTCCTCACTTGAGATAAAATTTCTTCAGATTTTTCAGAGATAACTTGATTGAAGTTTTACCTTAGGAAAACTAATGAGTTTAATTTCCTGTTCAGGTGTGCATTAGTCCCAGATGTAAATGATGGGTTTACACTGAAATATTCCAGGCTGAGTAACACTGAAACATTTCCATGTAATATCTGAGGGCTAATTTTACGTTTTGTCAATTCCAGGTTTTTGCCCTATGTTGGGATGGTAACTATAATCATGAATGACTATCCAAAATTTAAGGTACGTATACTGACATTTTCAGTACTTGAATTGGTAAAATAACAAGTAAAGACAATAAGAATGTTGCCTCTGAGCATCCATGTTAATAAATTTGTTTCTGTGCTCTGGTACCTAATGTCATATGTGATGTTGGAGAGGGCACACTCTGAACAATTTGTGCTTTCAGAGCTCCTGTGAAGGGAAACTCTAACGAGTGTGTTCTGTGGTTTTTTGCAGTATGCTCTCCTGGCAGTGATGGGAGCCTATGTACTGCTGAAACGGGAGTCCTGAAATCAGGCAGCTCTCCAAGGACAAAGCCGAATATACAGGGGGAAAGAACTAATATATTTCAGATGGTTTCATTTCTGTATACAGTTACGAAGCTGTGCAAGCTTTTGTCTTGTCTAAATAAACTAGGACTAATGAGTGAAGCTGTTGGCTGTTGGTTAATTATGAAAGGGCAGATTTCCTGCCTCAAACAGACACTGCTGTCAGTCAGCCTGGCCCTGGGCTGGGAGACACTGTCATGTTCTGAAGCAGCCACGGGCTCTCCCTGATGTGCCCGCTCGTTTTTCCTTGAAGGGTCCTGCATCTGAACCCCCTTTCTCCATCCTTTTGGTTTGGGGTTTTTTCCTTGATTATTTTTAATCTGTCAGTGCCCTCTCTTCTCCACCACACAAACTGGATTTATCAGTACCTGTGGGGATGTGGCATCTGGGTCAGAACAGGTGGTGAGTTGTAGGGGTTTGGTCAGACTAAGGAAAGTCAGCTGGATGTGGTGACAAAAACAGCCAAGGAAGGGGCTTTCACTCCCATTAGGAACTGAGCAACGGGGACTTGGAGCTTTTCCCCTGGATTTGAAACCTTCTTCCTGGAGTAGGGACAAAACACCTGATGGCCTGATTTCTAGGGGCCTGTTATTTAGGGACTGTGTAAGTTTCTAGAATTCAGGCTGTTTGCCATTATGCCTTTTGTGTTCCTAGGTGTTAAACAAACCCAACCACCAGGTTTTATGGGGCTTTAATAGCACTTGTAAATTACTGAATGAATAGCACAGTAGTGCACTTCAGGGGTGTTGGCAGCAAGGGTGAACCAGAACTCCTGTGCCACTTTGGAGAACGTGTTATTCTCTCCTATCATGTAACACCAGAATAGTGTTAAATAAATAAAATTAAAATAAAATTGATTTCTCATTTAAAAATCTACCTGAAACTGTCATTTTGTGAAATTCTATATTTTTCTCTTCTCTTCAATTGTCAGTGTTGTACCTTCAACAAAGCAGGACTTGTTTTCCTCCCCGGCTTTATTTTTGTAGCTTTGATAAGGAACAGCGTGATGCTCTTTTCCTCTGGAGTTTTGTTTCTTCTGTAATCCCTTATCTCTACAAAAATACTCTGTTATACAATAATGGCACCTTTTCTGTTTTAACAGCTCATGCTCAGCAGACAACTGCTGAATTTTTTCAAGTAGTATTACTTCTTTTGTGTCCTACTAAGCAGTTTTCATGTCCAACTGTATTATAAAAATTACTTTTTTTGTGTCAAATTGTGTAGAAATAAAATTGAGTATAGTAAATGGCATGTCAGAATAATGTAGGTATCCTTAATGCACTCCTGCTGGAAGTGTATCATCACAGTTAAGAAAAAATAATGTAATTTTTGGGACAGCGTATGTGTAGTAAGATTTTTTTTTTCCCCCTGGTATTGCTGAAATAGGAATTTATTCTGTCCACCTGCCCCAGTGTGAGCACAGTCAGCTCTGACTGGGAGAGTGGCAAATGGAGCCTGGGAATCCAGGACAGGCCCCCTGGGAATGGCTGAAGCTGTGCCAGGGGAGGGTCAGACTGCACCTTAGGGAGCATTTCCTTATGGAAATCAGTTCCTTACTGGAACTGATGCCCCGGGCCCGTCAGTGTTCCAGGGGCGTTTGGACAATGCCCTGGAGCTTTTGGTGAGCCCTGAGGGGGTCAGGCAGTGGGGCTGATGGTCCATCTAGGCTGTTCTGCTCCACAGGCGTGTCCATAAACACTTCTCATTTCAATTCTCAAGTTATTGAACCCCTCCACCACAGAAATTGTAAAACCAGGACTGGGCTGGCTGCTGCAGCACACTGGCAAACATTAAATATGCACTGAGCAATCCCTTTGGTTCAGCTTCAACTGTCTAGGGCTTCCCAAAATGCAGCACAAACAGTATCAACTGCCTTACACTGGGCCTTATTAAATAAATGTTTATTATTTCATATTATTCAGCCTCTGTAAAGTTGGGGAGCTCTTTTCTGAAAAATGTCTTCAGTTCTTCAGGGAGCTGTTGCTCCAGTGAGTTGATTTTCGGGTTGTTTGCAGAGCTCCTGCCCTGGGTGCGGGTTGGAAGTGCTGGAGATTAGTCCATTCAGCATCTTCAACATTTACAGAGTATTCCTCAGTGATTGTGCCCTGTTATTACGTGGCTGATACGCTCAAAGCAGTGTTTGTTCTGTCCATATATCCTGACTGTGTCTGACTCCAGCATCGCTACAAAGGATGTGATGAAAGGCACACCATTTTTCTTTTAGCCCTTTTCATTTCCATGGAATCTGCTTTGCTGATAGAACAGCGATAGTTGTCTAAAATGTAAAGGAAGCAAATTAAAGTGCTGCTGTGGTAATAGCATTTAAACACCATTAATGTTTTCCTGCCTTGGAGCACAACAGTTCGCTTTGCCGTGGGATGTATGAAAAGCAGAAAGGTATTTCAAAATGGAGAGAGCTGTTTCTTGGTGTTCAAACACAAATTTATGTTATCAGGCTTCTTTTTTAAGAAAGATTGTCTCAAATGAGTGAATCAGTCTCAGCTGATAACATCCTTTTATTGTACCTGAATCCTTTTCTGTTGCAGAGTGTTCAGAATACTATTTCTCTATGTTATCAAATTATTATTTTTCTGAAAAGATTAATAAAAATAATAATTGGAATAAATCCATATTACCTTTTTTTATCCTTATGACCAAGTAAGTAAAGAAATGCTGATTCAGAGAGTGGGCTGGATCCCCAGCTGGGCTGAGGGAGACGTACCCAGTCCGAGGAGAAAGCCCATTCTTTGGGCACCTCCCTGCTGTCCTGCCTGTCCAGACATGACTGCCCAGCACCCAGATAACCTGTGACTGACCACAGACCAGGCATTCAGCAGCCTTTGAGGGGTCTGAACCATGGAGCCTTGACAGGCTCTGCTAATGAAAGGAGCTCAAAGCAGTGCAAAATGAGAATGAATGTGAAGGTATAACCTGTAACACATGAAATGTATGAAGACACATATACAACAAATGAGGAAGGTTTATTTGTTTGCATAGTGTTTGCAGTGAAAGAGACTTGGCACTACTGGGCAATAAGGAACTGAGTAAGAATTCATGTGTGGTTGGGTTTGGTTTTGGTTTCTGAAAATGGACAGTCTCCTGAATTTTTGGATTTCCTGCCTTGAATTGCACCAAACAATCAGCACTTCCCATGGACAGCAATATTTTCTTTGAGCACAGAGCACATGTCTGTAGCTGTACTGCACAGCAAAACTCGTGATTGAGGCATGAGAATACTATTGTAAACTAAGCAGGAATGCATAATTAATAACCAAAATAAAAGAATGAATCACATTAATCAGTAAAAGAAGATGCAATAAACTGTGACTAAACAAGGGAACAAATTAGCTCGTACAAGAGGATACACAATTGACTTCAAAAGGGATTGTACCAGAGTTTGCCCGGAAATTATGTTAGTTCACATCCATGGGAGCCACCGTTGGGTGTAGTTCAGTTCCAGCCATGTGGGGTTAGCCAAAGGCTCTGGCAGGTTCCTTCCAGGCAGCTCTGGCAGTTCACTGTGTATCCCACCTCCTGGCATAGTTCTCCAGAGAGCAAAATCATCACATAAACTGCACCCATTCCACATGACTTCATCCTGTCCCCGTTGTCCTCCTGAGGGACAAACAGCACATCAGGATGTGATATCCCATCACTACTCACCCACCTTCACTCCAGTGGAACCACTGACACGCCCGGGGCCGGGTGTGTATTTAGGTGTTCCACTTTATGGCTCTTACAGGGATATACTGTCTCCTTCCATGATTCATCCATCCTTTCTCCGCACTGCCCCTTCAGGATGGAAATCTTTTCATCCATTAACTACTACAAGGTTGGCCAGTTCCAGGTGCCTCGGGGTGCTGGAAAGTTTACAGGTCCCTGCCCAAGGAAAGCAGAAAGTCTTTGCAAGCCTGTGTCCGCCTTACTGTCACTTGTGACAGGAAACTTACCCGACGCCGGGAACTAAAATAAGCTTTTGGCGCGAGATTTTCTGTTTCAGTGAGGGACAGTGAGACGCTTCGCACCGAGTGCGGCCGAGCCGAGGCCCGCACTGTGCGGGGGGTGACCCTCGCCCGCTGTCCTGCGCCCGTCGCAGCCCCCGGGGCCCCTCGCCGGCCCCGGTGCGGTCCCGCCGCCGCCCCGATCCCCGACGGCCGGAGCGCGGGCACCCACTCGTGATCCGTGTCCGTGTCCCGAACGCGGCCGAGAGGGAACCCCCCGAGGAGAGGATCCCGGGCCGGGCCGGGCTCGCTCCCCCCGCGGGAGCGGCCGGGGCGGGGAGCGGGCGGGGGCCGGGAGCGGGCGGGGGCCGGGGCTGCCGCGGCCCCGTGAGGAGGCGTCAGGCGCGGGAGCTCCGCTCGCGCCCGTCCGGGCTCCGTATAAATGGGCGGCGGCGGCGGCGGCGGCGGCAGCGCCTCGCCCGGACGGAGCCGCGGCCGGGCGGCACCGGCGGCACCACCGGCAGCATCCCCGGCGGCAGCACCGATAGCATCCCCGGCAGCATCCCCGGCAGCATCCCCGGCGGCGGCAGGGCAGGATGGGGGGCGGCCCGCGGCGGCCCGGGGCGCTCCCGCTGCTGGCGCTGGCGCTGCTGGCGGCGCAGGGCGGAGCGGCGCCCCTGCAGCCCGGCGGGACCCCCGCGCTCACCAAGATCTACCCCCGCGGCAGCCACTGGGCTGTGGGTAAGTCCGGTTCAACTCCTAGCAAGGCGCTGGAGCGCGGAGTTCCCGCGCCCGGTGTCAAGGTGGGGTAAGTGTAAAACCTACGGCTTCTCAGTCCGCTTCTTATTCCAGCAAATGTTCCCAAGTGCTTCTCCGTAGCTCCGAGCAAGGTGCTTGAGTATCGCTGCCCCGTGCTCAGCGACGTTTTCTCTGACGAGGCAGCACAAGAGACAGAAGAAATTAATTGTGTGCGACAGTGTGATAAAATCTGCAGTCCCAGTAGTGCTTCAATTTTGACATCTTCTAGCTCCTGCCCTTCCCTTCCATCAATCAGTAGCAGAGTCCAGCCGATATTTGAACAATCAAATCTTTACCCGTTTTGGTTAATTTTGTGCTGCTGTCATTGTTGTTACAGGACATTTAATGGGGAAAAAGAGCACT